TGTGTCATTACATTCTCCCTAAACCCAAAAGACTATTCCCTAAGTGAGATGAACAAGCTGATTCTTGGTTCCGAACAACCCACATTCAAGAAACTTCCCAAGGGTGATGGTCTATACAATGTCTTCGCTACCTGCGAGAATCCCAGCTTGATCTACGGCTCCGAGGGCCGGATAATCTACTCTGCAGTGAATTCCAAGGGCGCATCCCGGGTGTGCCATTTGAACGCAGAGGCATTCCCAGATTCTATCGCTGTGGCAACCGAGAAAGAGTTGAAGATCGCGCTGGTTGACAGAGAACGCACAACCCAAATTCAAACATTACCAATGGGCTCGACTGTCCGTCGTGTTGCATACTCCCCTTCTGAGAAAGCCTTTGGAATTGGCACGATTGATCGCAAGCTCGAGAATGGCGCCGAGGTTGTCAAGAGCCACTTTGTCCTTGCAGATGAGATTATGTTCCGGCGTCTTGATGCGTTGGAACTGGGCCCTGATGAACTGGTGGAGAGTGTTGTTCGTGCTGAGCTCCCGGCAGGGAAAGATGAAAATGGAAAGGAGATCATGAAGGACCGATTTGTTGTCGGCACGGCATTCGCAGACGAAGACCAGGAGGAATCGATCCGCGGGCGGATCCTCATTTTAGAAGTCGACCATGGCCGCAAGCTGAGCCAAGTCGCTGAGCTACCAGTTATGGGCGCCTGTCGGGCTCTTGCCATGATGGGTGATTGTGTTGTTGCGGCACTTGTTAAGACTGTGAGTACTGATCAACTGTATTGTTGAACTCTCTGCTGACGATATCTAGGTCGTTGTGTATAGAGTCAAAATCAATAATGTTGGACCGATGAAGCTCGAGAAGCTCGCTGCATACCGGACCTCCACCGCACCAGTCGATGTAACAGTCGTCGACAACCTAATTGCAGTGGGAGATCTCATGAAGAGCCTTTGCCTTGTCAGATATACACCGGGCCACGCTGGGGAGCCTGCCAAGCTGACTGAAGTCGGTCGTCACTATCAGACCGTCTGGAGTACGGCAATTGCCTGCGTCGGGGACGAGACATTCCTCCAGAGCGACGCCGAAGGAAACCTGATTGTTCTCTCGCGGAATATGAATGGTGTCACCGCGCAGGACAAGCACAGGCTGATTCCTACTAGCGAGATTTCACTAGGGGAGATGGTCAATCGTATCCGACCAGTCAATATTCCACAACTTTCCAGCGTTACGGTGACACCGCGGGCGTTCATGGCGACAGTAAGTTCACTCCAATTGACAGGGTTGACTGGCATCAAAGGCCCCTTTACTAACCTATTCATTAAAGGTCGAGGGCTCCATTTTCCTCTTTGCCGTTATCAACCCCGAACATCAAGATTTCCTTATGACCCTGCAGGCTACTCTTTCCCAAAAAGTCAACTCACTGGGCAACTTGTCATTCGACAAGTTCCGCAGCTTCAGAACTATGGTGCGCAGCGCTGATGCACCGTACCGGTTCGTGGACGGCGAGCTTATTGAGCAGTTCTTGAACTGCACGCCGAGTATGCAAGAGGAGATTTTGCAGGAAGTTGGCTCCTCAGACGTTGAGGAGGTCAAGAGGATGATTGAGGCCTTGCGGAGGCTTCACTGATCCCTTGTGAGGTACCTATTTCTTGGGGAATTGGCGACATGTTACGAACTGTTCATGAATACAGATAAGATGCGGTGATGCCTGGTTTCTAGAAGGGCTCAGGATAAAAGTCCTGGCTCGGACATGGCTGGATTGGATGCATGTTTTAGGTGCAAATAGTAGAATTATGACTTCCAAGTATAACTATATTATTGTGCCAGCTAGAGAGTCCTTATGTCCGATGATACGAGCAGTTCGGAGAATTCACTTAAAAACTAGAGGGGCCGTGGAGGTCCTATTAAATTGGAATCTACTAATAAAAAATACAAGAAGCAAAAACCCCATCCACCATGCAATGCACACACACACACACGAGGGCCAACCCAAAGACTTTAGACGACTCAAATCTCAAAGATCCTTCTTGACCTTAATATCCACATCCTCCTCCTCACTCCAATCCAACAACTCCATAATCTGATCCCGACTCAAATCCTCAGCGCGCTGATCCTTCTTGACACGCTTGATATAATTCTTCTGACGCTTGCGGGCCATATCATTCCACTCAGGAACACCACTAGCAGCCGCCATAAGATCCTCCTCATCCTCCAGCTCATCATCCGTGTTATCGACTTCACCAAGGACCTTCCCCTTTCCGCCGTCGCCACCGGCACGCAGCGAGTTCGGCGACACCTTGACTTTTCCAAACTGCGCTCTCTCCTTCTCGCGCTTCTCCTTCTCCTTGCGACGGTCGCGGTCGTGCATCCACTTAAATGTCTTCTCGATGTAGGGTCGGATGATTAGGTAGAAGACCACGCTGCCAATGACTTTTGTCCAGCGCTTGCCACTCATCTGCGCGATGGAGGCGTAGCCATTTTTGAAGAAGCGGGTCACGACCAACTCGAAGAAGGCGTATAGTTGGCCGAAGAAATCACTGGCCGCGGCTGCGGCCTTTTCGCTCAGGTCGGACTGGGGTGTGGACATGGTGGATGATGTGGTTTTTTGGGGTTTGGTTTGAGGGTTTGGAGAGAGAGGTGGGAGCTCGGTGGCTACCCGCAGAATGGGGTGGGAGTTTGTAAAAGAGGACAGCCAGAGGTAGATAAGAGCAAGGTAGAGAGATTTTGTAAAATATTAAGAATTGAGGGATTAATTGACAGGATCCGCGATTGCTTTGCGCTTCTTTGATATTCCGCGGCTCCGGCAACGAGAAATGCCCGTTTGGGGTTAGCGTGGCCTGTGTGCCGGATTAGCCGTTAATCCGCGGACGCGTCGTTGGCCAATCAGATGTCGTGAGTTTTATATAGGGACGCGCTCGGCTTGTTGTCTTGCACTATCTCTCATCACCATGGAGCAGACTGAAGAGGCTAGTTTGGAGGAGGTCAGTGTCAGTAGGATATTGTCATATATATGGCTAACTCTATTTTGTAGCGCTTGAAATCTGCGCTGTGGTTGTCCATCGGCAAGATTGTGGATGAGGAGACTATCAAGCTAGGCGTCAATGCCACTCCACAGTTTATTGGTGCGTTGACAGAGATGGTTTGGGCTCAGATAGGTATGTGTCGCTGTTTTATGTCAAGTTCGCAGATTTTGGTCCTTGTAACTGACTATTTGCAGAGACGATCAGCCAGGATCTAGAATCCTTTGCCAAGTAAGTAGGCACTATTGCTGCGATGGAGTAGTGAAGTGTTCCTATTATTCCTGTCGGATAATATGTCTAACAAGAAATGTACTAACCTTATTTTCTGATATAGACACGCCGGGAGATCTACCGTCAATGTGTCTGACGTGATGCTACTTGCTCGCCGCAATGAAGGACTAGATTCGATTCTCCGTGCTTTCGTTGAACAAGAAAAGCAACGCCAGGAAGACTCCTGAAGGGTGGGCTATCGGACGGCTTCGATAAGAAGCTACCGTGTAGTCTCACAGCCCATTGCCGAGGATTGTATCGCTCTTAATTCCGTGATTCCCAAGTGAATCAAAATGTAAGTTGAAATATGGGACCTTAATAGGGTTATCATTGGAAGACATCCCTGGACGTTTACAAGGCCAGCATTTTGCACTGATGACCATGTATCTGACATTTCTCCAAGACTTGCTCGATTTGTACAGCCTGTTAGGCAACAGGGGCATCGGCCAGGCCCAAGCGTCCGCACTACGGCAGTGATGCCACTCTACGACTCACATTAGTGGGTTATTCCTTATCCACCAATGCGCCCCTTGTCCGGGCCGAAGCTAGGCTCTTCACCCAGATCGAGATCGCGAAGCTACTCGTGACTAAGGCTGTACTTCCTCCGGGCAGCAGCACCATTTCCTTGAGATTATTTGGGTAACACGGGCTAGCCCGGAGTTATGCTGGGTTACGCAGCCTAGCATCTGGGCAGATATTTGTTCTCATCCCACCTAGACCGCACCTCGTTCTTGCTACCTCACAGACTTCATCTTACCAAGATGATGATATACCATGTGTATGCGGTAGACCCAATTTTAATCACATTTCCCCCACTCTAGTACCACGTATGTTTGTAATGTTTGTAAATGGCAAGTGCGGAAGACCCAGCGGAATATTCGGGTGGGTGCAGACGTCATTTCCAACGTGCCGGGTTCGTAGGTACAATGGACTCGCCGCCATATTTACAATAATGATGTACGGCGGTACAACACAGCCACCTTTAAGGGCCGATGATAGATACGCTACGTAGGTTACTTGAAGGCGCTGGGAAGCAGTCGGTGTTGGTGAACAACATGCTACCTGGAGTACATACAACAATATGTATGAATGGAAGGATATTAAACTACTTTATACTATTGCTTAAGCTGCGCTAGTTTCAGTTTATTTGTAGCTCTTTCTAACTTTATCTTCAACTGACACCTAGCACCGGTGGAGTTCAAGGCCACTAAACAACAATGGATCACTAAAAATAGGCATAGATGATATCTAGAAATAGTACGCAGTACCCTTTGAAATAATCCATGGATCCCATAAAGTATCAGGGTCATGATAGAAACCTTGATGTATTGAAATTGTGGCAGTGTGGCTGGGGCATTCGAAAATATCCATTTTAATCATTTTCTTCACATGACTCGGTGGCGAATTTTCTAACCCGAGACGGCTAGGTGGAACCTTGGAAGTCACCCAACCCATGGAACTGACATCACTGAGTGGGGTCATCTGGGGTCATTTAGAGTGTGGCGCAGACACTGGCCATTAAGCTGAGAGCTTCTCCCAGGATCGACGTGCAATAGTGCCGCCATCCACTGATCGTCAGCCTCTTGGTCCTCCTTTATAACTCGCTCGAATCCTGTTGCCTGAGTTTCTTTCATATATTCTTCCCTCGACCACGATCGACCACGAGGTCACTACCGACACTTTTATACCCAAAATAATCATCCTCGTCCACTTTATACAATATGGGAGCCGGCGGGGTAGTCCTCCGGTTTTTCAACCTCGGACTGCGTGTTCTGCAATTCCTTGATGCTGCCGTCATTCTCGGAATTTTCTCGTACTTCCTGGCTATCTTGTCCAGGAATGACCAGCCCATCGCGACGTGGATCAAGGCCGTTGAAGGCTTAGCAGGCGCGGCAACCGCCTACAGTCTGCTCGGCATCATCTTCACCTGCTGTCTGGGCGGTGTGGCCTTCTTTGCATTCCTGGGTGTTGCCCTGGACATATGTTTTGTGGGTGCGATGATCGCCATCGCCATCCTTACTCGGGATGGTGTTGGCAAATGTACCGGAACAGTGGACACACCAATGGGCACGGGCAACGCCGACGATGACACTGCTTCCAGGAGTCTGAAATTCGGCATGGCCTGCAAACTGGAAAAGGTCGTCTTCGCAGTAGCGGTGATCGGAATGTGAGTTGATCCTAGAGTACTGATCATGACTGTTACTCGGACTATGCTAACTTTTCGCCCAGCTTCTTCTACCTGATTTCCATCCTCTTCCAAATCCTTCTCGCCCGCCACCACAAGCGCGAGAAACGTTTCGGTCCCTCCCCTACCAACGGTTACACCCACGGCAGCCGCAAAGCCTTCTGGCGCCGCAATAAAGACATCCCCGAGGCTACCGGCGCCGCCGATACTTTACCCGGCCATCCAACCCCCTATGACGTCGAGATGGGCACTGAGCCCAAGACTGAGAAGGGCTGGTTTAGCTCTTGGGGCAAAAACAAAAATGCAGCCAATGCTCCGGCTGCTGCCCCGACTGCGGTTGGTTATGGCTATGGTAACTCGGCGTACACTGGTAACATCTAGGTTGCTGGTGTAGGATACTTGCTGTTTCGAGTATCTTAATCTGAGAGGATTGGTGCTCATGCACCGGTCGATGATTCTATGACCCTTTTGTGTTATTTGAGAGCTAAGATACCACTGCTATGTCTGTGATTAAATTGGATTGTACAATATGATGGAGGATATCTGGCGAGCATACTTGGGTCTCTCGAGACTAGCTGGTCACATTTTTAATATTAATCAATACACTGCTTTATGAATATTTTTCTACGTTCAACAAACTCGTCGGGGTCTCGATTTGAGTTTTTTGTTCCTGGACGTAATGCGACAATGGCATTCCAAGGTTCAGCCTCACTTTCCGCATGCGTCAATATATGGTAACATACCGGATTTGATCATATGGGAACCAATGGCTGATTTTCCCTTTAGATTGAATTCGGGGGTGACCATGTTTCTTGTAATTAATAAAACCTATACGAGGCACGGATTATGTTACCTACACCCGACCTCGGGGGTAACCTACTCCCGCACGGCAGCCAACATTTATTCCCCCTGCGACACGGTTTACCTCGTTCGGGCGACAACACCTATGGTTATATGCGATAGGTTGTCTGAACCTTCGAGTATATTCTCATGGGCTGCTAATCAAACCTTGGAAACATGCCAAGGAGAAGATAATCCAAGGAAATGACTTCATATGTATTCGAATGTGCTAAAAAATTTACACGAAAGGAAGTTCATATGAAGGGCAATGAACTGGCAAATACAAAATCGGAACATGGAATTAAAAGGCACCGTTTAGAATCCCCAATCACAAGGGTAACCTAGGCCTTGTAACTCTGTGGTAGGATTTGGGCTATGTGGGATTTGGTTTGATTTGTAACGAGTTCCTTTGAAAAAACGTCCCATCACCAACGCCCAACAACGGGTGTGTAGATTAAGCACTCCTAGAGCCAAAGACCTAGTTTATCAGCTGGCGTTTTTCTCTACACCGCGAGGGATATGAAGTCTTTAAGGCTCGGAGCAGACCCGATATGCACATGGTTGCATAGTTATCCGCGGAGCTCATTCTTTGCACCGTGAGGGAAATGACGTCTCCTGGTTGTTCGCGGAATTCTGTAGTAGCAGCAACAGGAGATCAGATACCAAGACCCGAGATAGGAAAAGGCAGCGTTTCTATGCCTCCAGATCTCAAAGTTTATCCTCAGAAATTCGTACCAGAGGATAAATTGGACAAGCGCCTTGAGAACCCAGGATCACAGATTTCTTTTCCGGTGGAATCAACTCTTTATCCGCATCGTGAGAGAAATAATGTCTCCAGGGCTCGGAACATACCCCATGGGCACAAGGTCTCCTGATTGTTCCCGCAACTCCGCAAGGATGAGATAGACAAACATATCGAGAACCCAAGGTCTGGGAAGGCTTCGCGAATTCAATCCCTCCTCTCACTTGCTCAGAATCTCGCAGCATATGCCGCTCATTTCGTGTAGACAAGCACTGTGTAAATAGGCCGGTGCTCGCCTATAAATCGGGCGCAGGGAGTGCTGTTCTTGTAGTGCGGATGAATCGGTTACCGGGCTACCACTCGGCCCGATAAGGAGAGCAAGAAGAATTCCCCAGGCTCGGGGCAGACCTCATGGGCACAAGGTCACCTGGTTGTTCCCGGAATTCAGCATTTGAAGCGAGAGGAGACCAGGCAAGAACCTATATCTAGCCAGAACAAGAACACAGAGCCATTCCTCGGCCTCGGGGTTCGATACAATGACTCCGAGGTAAGAACTGGCAGGATTCCTATTTCACAAGATCTCAGAATTTGTTCTCTGAACTCTGTACCATTCGCGGGATATGACACCGCAGGAAGCACTCGAGCCACGATTTCTCACGTTTGTTTTCATCCCAGAGCGTGTTTAGTACACAGTCTGTCCGATGATAATATCTCTTAGCGACATCACGGAATTGTGAAAGGCTCAGTACCAAAGCAGTATTCAGGACGATCATTTGTAACATGCCCGCAGGAAGTTGAAGAGAGCTAATCTGGTCCTCTGCTTTAGCCCCCAACGTTGTACCCATTGTCATGGTCGTCTTTCCATCATACGAGAGGTCATGACTTCAAAGTTGGCCTGAGTCAGGGACTCTCCGTGGAGGTAATTAAAGATTTGACGGACGCGGACGCTAGTCTGGTCCGAGCCAGACAAGATCAGCATCCTCATTATATCACCCGTCTTAATGGTTTGATTGAATGCGATGTAGACCCATTCGGGGCTTCTCTGGAGTGCAAGTTCGAATAAATCCAGCACGAGTCCAGCTGATTTGTCCGCATCCTTAATTCTGTTCTTCAACCTGCTTCTTGATAGATCAGACCGTGAAAGTTCCCCAGAGCTCTGTTCCGTGTTCGCCACTAGGTCGACAGCGGATGCGAAGGATTGTCAATTAATGGTCTGGATGGCATCAAGCTTCACATAGACTCGCTCACGATGAAGGCCTCGGGGCACAAGCTCGTGGTCAACCAAATTTCTAGAGCATGGCAGATTTTGTCAAAATTTTGGCGTGTCGCAAATCATGACCTGCGAAACATTGCGGTCAATGTAGCGCAGCGAGCCATCTGAGGTGTATCGCACGAGATCACCTGTCTTATACAGAGTATCTGTGTTAGTATTTTGAGACTGTGTAATCAGAGCAGACTGGTAAAACAACACTGCACTTACAGTTGGGGATTTGATTCACCCGAACCATGAACCATTTCTCTCTTTCAAATGGGTACTTCGGGTAAAAGCCTATCCCAGAAGATTTGCCGTTAAGAATATGGGAGGGTTTTAGGAATTGCAATTGGAAGAGCCATACTGGCTTTGTTATTCAATGAAACCACTGAGATGAGTGGAATTTGTGAGATGACAGAGATTTGGGTAGGTAGATGAGGGAGAAGTAAACAAAATCGCGGGGTTCTTTTAACTAAACGCGTTGCCGTGCCCCCGGGGGCGCGAGCGGGTATCTCCGGGTATATCCGTGCTGATGCCGCCCCCGGAGCGGTGGTGGCAGCACAAGTCTATACCGCCTGGGCAAAGATGATTGTGAAAGCTTGAGCACTTGACTTCTTTCAAGCCCGGGGCTCTGCGTGAGAAATCTAATTATGATACTTTACATGAGTTTCAGGCTATATTATTATGACCTTTCGATCTCACATTTTCCTTCTTTGCCTGCAACATGTTTGTGGTGAACAACTCTCACTTCGGACCTTCGTGAATCAAACTATGACCATGAACCCTTTCGAGATATGGCTCTCCCGTGAATTTCAAGTGAATCTCAACGTTACAATCACTTTTTACAGGCCTGTTGTGCTGAATGAACACTTGGCGAGCCGAACCAGAAGCCCTGGAGTATGCAAATCTCTTTTATATCTTATACTGATGCACACTTCCCTCATACAGCGCCTGTGATTTTAGTATCGCAAGGTACACCTACGCAGAGTTGAAAGCCTCCGCGCTTGTAATGGAACAAGACGACATTGGAATTCGATTTCAACAAGCACGCCCAAGGAACCCCCGTCATCGCCGTCGGGCCTTTTGGTCTCCAAAGATCTTATGGCGGTGACACCAAGACTCTGTATGCTGTGCTTGTTTTTTGACTTGATGCATTGTAATTAGTCAAGTAATCTATGTCTTGACGCTTTATGGCAGGGTTCTCAGACTGGCTCGAGGCTGAAACCGCCTGGTGAGATGACCAGAAGCTTGATGGTCTGGCTTGATGAAATGCAGATCTCGAGATCTAAATTCTGACTGTCTAGACCTAAATCTACTAGCATCACAATAGATGTATTTTAATCTCTTTCTGACTGATCTCGGAATGATTTGTTGAACCCTCTTCACGCTAATGCAGACCCGTCAATGGTCTGCAGTCAGCCCCGCCACTTAATGCCGATCGACCCTAATATGTACACATCGGCATGTTTAGCTCGATTTGGACGGTCCGTGTAAATTAATACGAACCATTCACTAATTCAGCTGTCATTACGGAGTCAATTTTGTTGATTTTTGGTGATGACATTGCGAGTGGATACTCAGCTGCAAGCCAAAGTCACAACATGGTGTCTTTACCTGCAGAACATGTTGATTAGCGCTGAGTATACTCAATAGGGGGCTGAAATTTAGTATTTTGACAAATAGATTAATCGAGAGCAATAGAACGACAATAGATTATGCACAATTACTCAAATTTCTATCTCTGTGGAGAGATTCACTAGATCGATTAAAATTTATAGACATGTAGCTCGCGGGAAACTAAATATAATACAATGTGTTTTAAGAATCTCAACGACGGTCCTAACACTCTCCATCAGCGGAGTCTCCGGCGGAGAGCATTTCGGGATCTCCGGATCCTAAGAAACACATTACAAGCACAGCAAGGAGGAGATAAAATATACCTACTATAATTAGCTAATATCACAAGGAAAAGGGGTTGACCACTTACTCCAAGTCCAACTCATATAGTCGTAGCCAAATGATTCCTTGAGCGAGCCACCCACAATTGGACCAATTGTCATCCCAACGGAAGCAGCAACCTCCATTATAGCAAACACGCGGGAGAGTCCTCCCTCGGGCCCAAAGATACCCGGTCTCCTTTCTTGGTGTGACTTGACAGCAGCTGCGATGGATAATTAGAAGCCTGCGCAAATATCTCTACTTCATTGAGAGAAATCAACACTCACCAGTCAATTCAACAGGCCCCAACCCAGCTATGAAAGGACGCAATGCACCCATAGCCATGATAGATGCTATGTAAAGTGTTCCACCATATTTCTGAGCACTCGCCCAGGAGATTTGCTCGTTTCCAGCAATACCCAATAGTACCAACACCGCCGCCTGAAGAACCAAGGAGATTGCAGCAGGATATCGTATTCCGACACGGTCCCGGATCCAGCCTGCGAGGGGACCGATCAGAAGAGTGGGCAGTACCAAGCAGGAGAAGAGGAATCCAATCTTGCTAGGGCCCCATCCAAAGGTTTTCTGTACATGGAGTGGAATAGTCGCGTTGAAGCACGCTGCCACCGCTATGTTCAATACCTGAATGAGCAGAACGGTCAAGACGCGAGCATCGCACAATATAATTCGCCAAAAGCCACTTGCAGTGGTGGGTGGATATTGAGGATCGCCTTGCGGGGGCAGCAGACCCGTTGTTTCTGTTGAGTCTACCGTATCTCCTATCTTCGAAGACTTTATATCAGACTGAGAGAAGCTCGTCGACGGACTCTCAATCATCAAAAGGCGCGCGACAAGATCTATAACCAAAATGAGGAGCGGCACCATCCATGTTATCCAATATCCCGCCACTTCAAGTAGCACCCCAGAGATTGCGGGCCCGCCGACGACTCCCAAGTGGACAAAAGACATTGCAATCCCCATTGTTGTGCCGAGATTCCCCTGATTCGCGGTATCTGCGATGGTTGCATAGCCGATGATCCATACTGCAGATGATGCTACTGCTTGTAGGGCACGGCCTAGGAAGAGGATCGGAATCGAATGTGTGCTTGCCATCATGACGGTACCTATGATACAGGTAATAAGAGATAGCAACAATGGTGTCTTGCGGCTTGGAGTTTTATCGGCAAAATGGCCGATGATGGGGCCAGCGATGACAGAGATAGCACCGTGGAGGCCCAGTACTATAGAGGTAACCTTCTGAGTCTTGGAGCGATCGATATGTAGGCGAGTCTGTAGCATGTAGTCTAAGATAGGGACAATGAATGCGTATAGGAAGGTTTCTATACCGAACAGTGTGAGCGACGGATTGTAAGCAGATTTCAGATACACAAACCACCAAATAAGGCAAGAGTGATGGTTGAAATGATAAACCATTTGGAAGAGCGCCATTTGTAGCCCAAGGGCTTTTCTTGGAGATCGCCCATGGTGATGTGAATAGTGTCAGGGAGAAAAAGATCGAAGCTACCGGGAATCTCTGGGTTCAAAGTATATATATTATATGAAGAAATCAAATCAAATAAAAGTCATTATGGCCAGGATCGGCCCTTACTTGCAGTTTCGAATTTCGACTAGGGATGTACTGCAGATCAGCTTCTATATTTGCCTCTTGGCGCGAAGACACATTTGTTATGAGAGACATGGCGCGAGGGTCATGATTGGCTCCACTTGAACATCAAAAAAAGAAATTCACCGAAGAATCCAAAAAAGACAGCTCATCCCCGAGCTAGTACTTCGGAGGCGTTCGTGTGTGGGTCAGAGCTGAAGGGTCATCCCTTGTCGACTTCAGCTGAAGAACCGCAAGAACCAACCGCATTTAGGTACACTTTTGGTACTAATCTAAGCCTTCTTTTCGGGAAGTCTTGGATGGAAAGTATGAATGTACATAGCCAATTAGATTGTAAAGTAATATGTATATCGTATGCACCTTTTAGGACATCCTGCCAATAAAAAACAATCAACCCTATGAAATCATGTACGAGCTAGCCTCTGACAGATTACAGCTTGTGTGGGACAAGATGGCTACAGATATCAATTCCAATGGGAGTAAGAAAGCGACCGCAAAGGTGTCGAGGTGATTAAGTGATTAAGAAGGGTATGCGTTTCAAATTGTACACACATGGTGTAAATATGAACAATTTTCTCAAACCTCGAAGTAGCTCAAAGATGAATAAGATGTTTGAGAGTCTAGTTTCATTGATTTATTCCAAGTTGAACCCCGAATGTCCAAGTTAGAGTAAGGGTCATGTTTTAGCTAAGAAACAATCCCTAATTCATTATAGATGTTACATCAAAAGTGCTCTATTATTACCTTGAGTAAGGATGCCATGAGAAGGAGTACCACGAAAGTATCTCTCAAGGTCTCAAACAGCATGTCGCCCGAGAAGACATTGGCTAGGGCACAGACTGAAATCGCTTTTTAACTCTGCCACTTGTATGGTGTGCTGGCAATTTGGAGGGCATGCACTCTATGAAAAAAGTACATGATGCCCGCGGATTGTTGGGAGGAAAAGGGCATAAATAGTATAAATAAGGTCTAAATTTTGAATTGACACACGAAATCATTAACTAGGGCGACATAAACCACGCCGTCAACATCGGGGCATCAACTAGCTCATCGCTCAACAGGTCATGGGTAAAAAAATAAAAACAATACAGAGCGCCCAAAATCCAGGCTGAAGGGAAACATCAACTGTCAAAGTCCAAAGACGGAATGTGGCGAGCGAAGTTCACTCGACTAGTTCAGCCTGTGGTCTGTTATAACTTAAAATATCCACTGAGACGTATCCAAAAAGAAAACAATCGGCAAGAGAAGTAAAAAGTATAAGAATGAAAAAAATTACTAGCGAGCAGTAATGGCGCCCAAGCGGCAAATAGTACCAGCAGCAACAGAACCCATGAAGACGGGCTTTCCGTTGGTGCACAGGGCAAAGGAAAGTCCATCGGGAGAGCAGATGAGGTCCCCAGAATGGCAAGACCATTGACCGAGGTTGTTGACGAACTGGTTGGTGGATGAAGCATCGGTGGAGAGCTCACGGGAGTCAGCGGTAGGGGAGGGAGTGCCGAAGGGCTGGGCGATCTTGGACACAGCCTTGGTGGTTGTGGTGGATGTGCTGGTAGTAGCGGGCTTCTTCTCGGACTTGGATGTGGTAGCGGCTGGCTTCTTCTCAGACTTGGAGGTGGTGGAGGGCTTTGACTTGGAGTCGGAGGTGCTCTCGAGGAAAGGAGCATGGTCAGCGCACTTATAGCCAGGGCCGTCGGCCTTGCCGATGAGCTTGGGGCCAGGATTGGGGAAGTGAACGGCCTGGCCTTCAATGGTCACACAATTGCCAGCTTGGTTGGCATTGGCAACGAAGAGATCGGGGAGACTATCGAAGCTGTTCTTGGCGTTTGTAGTCTGGGTATTGGCCTTGCTGTTAGATGTCTGACCGTTTGCCTTGTTGTTGGGCCCCTTCTCAGTGGTCTTCTCGTCAAGTGTCTTCTTGGAGGCCTCCTTGGCATCGACAGGGGCGTTGCGGTTGCTAGAGCCACCAATTGTGATCATAGCACAGTTCATGTACATCTCGCGGTTGCCGACCTTGTTGAACCAAGTCCAAGCGAAGAGCGCATCACCGCTTGGTGCGTCCGAAGGGACATCGAATTGGTACTTCTTAGCAATAGGGCAGTCACCCTCGATCGACTCAATGACCTTGAAAGTTTTGCCCTTGTCATAAGTGAGAGCGAGCTGGCACGAGCCCCCGTCATGGACAGCACTCCCTTCTAACGTCATCTCTTGGGAGGAGCCTGGTTGCCATGTATCCACGGCCACAAATGCATCATTGGCGTAGCCTTTGCATGGGTAGTCGCTACCGGAGGTGGAGAGAGGGTTGGTGTAAGAATAGTCCTTCTCGCCCGTGCCGTCCTTGTTGAGGGGACTGCGGATAGGGTATGGCTTGCTCAATTGCATGTGAGCTGAGACGGTAGTCGCCAGAAGGCCTGAGAGGATAAATGTGCCCTTCATTATGATCAAGGTGCTTCTATCGTACTTGTTAGTCTGAAATTGATAATAGCAACATCGAATGAATGCCAAAGGAAAGAACGAAGCAGTCACCAGGTGTTCACTTACAGCGTCATGGGGAACTTTTTGTATGTAGACGTTTGATATCTTGATATGATACAAGAAACGTTAACCACCAAGGTCAATTACAAGAGTATGAAGGCTTGAGAAAATAAGATGAACTCCGAGATGTCGACGTCAATTAGTATAAATACATGGCCAGTGGTCCATAACATTCCACATAACTCCACAGAGGAATGGCAGATACCATCGTGCTGCGGCTTTTTCCCATGCGATGATGGTTCAGCGATGACCCTCGCAACGCAAAGAATGTTAAAGAATGTCAACAACCTGTTGCCCTCTACCATCATATGTCCTTGACTCCGCATAAGAAGTCTAAAGTAAAACCACTGACATTGCCATCTAACTGAATCAATGGATCCATCTTCTATCTGGATACATGCATCGGAAAAGTCACACAAATCTTATCTCAGCGTTGGTTTGTTTAGATATCTAGATCGTCAAGCAAAGAAAACCCCGCTACTTGATGGGAAATACTCGAGGGGCAATTGGATTTTTAACAAAATGGCCACTAGGGGGGTCAAATGTGAGAAAGACGGCACCATGTCTTCCTTCATTCCAACGTGTATTAATCTCCGCGGGCTAAGTTCTCTTCGGGAATCTTGAAATAGTGTCAGAAAGACAAAAAAAAGGCCGCGTCACAATTATTTATAAATGTCAAATGTCCGACTATCAAGCTCTGAGATCCACACATGCTCCATTCTATGTAGTCCCTTGGGCCAATCGTGGGCTCTGCAATAGAACTGGTCTGGGGCTCGGCCTCAAGGCCGGGCAAGCCCTAAGGGGTAATTGAAGCCCCTGTCTTCCTCCCCCTACATGCCTACCAGTGCACCAATCAAGATTTTCTAAGCCAAGGGATTTGTTTACATCCACGTTCACCTATCAAGATTTCTTTTAGTCATTTTCATGGCGTGGAAAAAAGCTTGTTGCAGCGGGATCTCCACGGGGTTCTTCGAGGTATACACTGTGCATTGCTCTGATAGTAAAAATGTTCCGAATGCATTTGAAATATCGATAGTTCCAATGACCCAAGTAGCCTAGCTAAATCCAAAAATTCCTATCAAAGCCTTTGCATTGATTGTAATTGTATATATTTCTGAGCGAATATACATTCACAACCAAAACATCCGACTACTATTATTCCAAGCAGCTTCCACCACTTCTTTCATAGTGACACCCTTCAACCCCGCCACAACTAATCCAACTCGCTCTATAGAACAACTTTCATTGCGTGTTTTGACCATTTGCCCCAGTATAAACTTGTTATGTTTCCGACTCGCAGGCAAAGGCCTCGCAGTTTCCAGGTAAGCCGCGATTTTGGGGTCATTAGACAAGACCTCGCACCACGGAGCATCAGTCTCCAGTTGCAGCTTATCCAATGGAATATTTCTAACCATTTCCAACTGTTCATCCGTCCGGAACGACACGCCGTTGACACTAATCTCAAGACCCAGTTCCACGAGCTGGAGCATCTCCCCCTTCGTCCCCGCAAAAGAATGCACCAACCCACCACGCGGCAGTCTTGGCAGAAAAGGCTTGATTATGGAAATAAAATCTTCAGCTGATTCGCGCACATGCAAGAATAGCGGTAATTGGAATTGCACAGCCAGCTCTAGTTGCTCACGGAATGCGCGTTGCTGCGTTTCCTTATCGGCCCGATCCAGGTACTCGTAGTCCAACCCGATCTCCCCAAACGCAGCTAGAGGCGAGGGGTTCTCAGCTAGAAGGGTTTCACCCAGTTCACGCAGCTCGTTGAGATATTGCGATTCTGGCTGGTCATAGATCTCGGCGGCATGGTATGGATGCACGCCTAAGGTCATTTTACACATCGTGGGGAACTCCCTCACTGCCTGTAGGTTTTGTTTTGCACCTTCCAGAGTCATCGTGGTGAGCATGATCTTTTCGCATCCATTTTCTCGGGCTCTTTTCAGGACTTCTGCAAAGTCTGGTTCGTGATATTGCTTTCCTCGGTAGATGCCTTGGAATTGGTCTGCTGTGAATGTGACGGCAACCTATCGCCAGTGTTAGTCAAACTTCTAGAAACAATGGAAGAAATTTGCTCACATCGAAGAACTTCATTGTGATTATCCGTGTCTGGTGGAGTATCGCAAGGGAAAGAAAAAGAAAAGTCTTGCGTTACGCGTTCTTGGCACGTTCCGACCAAATAGGGCTGATATATATTGGCACTCGTAATATTGTGAGGCTTTGGCAATCAAAAGCTAGATAACGGCCTCTACACAATCCGTGAAGTAGATCTTCAATTCAAATGACATTGACAAGTTGTTCAATTAACATAACGAATGGGAATATACCGATGTCGGCGGCTAAAGTGGGGTGGGGCTTGTTTTTCTCTTGGTGGGAAGCCTTGAGGGGGAAATCTGAGATATATTTTATATTTATAAAGAATTTATATGACTATCAATTTCCCCCAATTGATATATCTAATTGGGAGTAACCCTGATTTCCCCAATTTCCCCTGAAGCCGTTCCTGCAAGGACACCAGTCCCAATAATCCCGCCATCACTGGCCTCGCGCAAGAAGACACTCTTTCCTCCTACTTGAGGACCAGCTCGCAGTAGCAGGCGATCAATATATCTCTGTACAGTTTCTTTATAGTGGGGATAATGCTGGATCACTCCACCCGAGAAAGCCACAGCGAGCTCCTCGGGCCCGCTATTCCAACCTGGCGTTGATGATGAGATTGACTTAGAGTCCATTTGTTTAGTAACTCCAGCGTCGGTTTTGATATTTTCTCCATTGGTGCACTTGTGCACCGTGTTGCACAATTGGACTTCGTTGGTGCAGGCTAGGAGACCAACAACCGCAGATGCCACCAAAGAAGCCGCTCGATCCTGTACAGCCGAGGCAATGGCTCGAATATCACGCGCGTATTCAGGTGACCAGACCCAATCACTCTCAGGAGATGCTTGGAGTGTCTTAGACAACTCGCTTGCCAGGAGCTCATCGGACAGGGAAGAAGCAACAACAAGGGAGAGGTATTCCGTTGAAAGAGAATATTCCTCAACCAACTTCAACGGTAAGTTAGAGCACTGTATTCCCAAGATTCCATGGAACCAATCATAACAGACGATGCGGACGAGCTCGCCAGTGTATCCGCCGCCAATCATATATTCCATTGGCTGGAAACCAGGTCTTTTGCAATTTCTATCCAGCTGAAGGTCCCATTGAGTTCGGATACCAAGCTCATCGAAAGAAGCCGCTGCAGTGGAGAGAGTCCATTCAGTCGAGATGAGTGTTTCCTGTGCATCGGGATGTTTTTCAAGAATACTTTTAGTTTTGGATTCATGCAAGTCGGAAAGTTTCATGGGTACGGTCGTGTTGCATCCCGCGCCCACGATCAGACCCATGACAACACGGGTGTTGGGCAAGGAAGGGATGGAGTACGCTAATGAAGCAAGGGTCGCTGTCGTATCATTGATCATGACTGCGACTTTCAATTTAGGAAGAGAAAACAGCCTGCGGCGTTTAGCAGGCATGTTCATTTCATCTCCATGAGTTGAATATGTATGGCGTTCATATCCATTCAGCAAGGCTTGGCGGAGATTGAGGTCTGAGTTTAGAGAAAAGCCTTTCCCTGTTGGCATCAAGATTGCTTCATCGAGGGAATCTTGTCTAGACTATATTAGCCACAGAAACATACAGCCTATGTCGGGGGCGATAAATATACTTTATAGGTAGACAGAATGAAATGCCTGTCGTTATTTGATCAATTCGCTCTTCACTTGGGTTGGCCAGTCTGTCTGCCACCACCTCGGCGATACAGTCACCAATCCATGTAAAGAGATCAGTATAATGATCCTTTCGGAGATGTTCTCCAATAGGCCATGCCTTCTCTAATGTGCGCCGTACGCGTGCATGTCCTTCGACATGTTGATCCCCTAAGAGGTCGATGAAGGCCACACGAAGGTAGGACAACCCAAAATAAACAGCAAGATAGCGTCCCGTTTCATGACCCGTCGGCAGACAGGTAAGAGCCGTTGGAATAAAGTGTTCTGAAGATTCCGCAGCCAATTTTTTATAAGAGGATGACAGCCGACAGGATAAGTCATACAAGGTCTCAACTTCGACCCGGAAAGGCCGAAGGAATTCCTTTAGACTTGGCTTTTTTGGAGAGATCTGCGAAGTTGTCGCCATTTCAACCAAAAAAATATTAATGTGACGTGGCTTTTTTCCCAAGATGGAAAGGTTTAAGACTTGGAGACAACCGAGGTTGGGTAAACACGAGCTGATGGAGCGAATACCACCACGTGACCGGAATTTAGTATATTCCTATCTTCTTTTTTACGATTGACAAGATTTGAAGATTGACAGGGCTAAATGGTATATAATACTGCTTTGATATTGGCGCCATTGATAGCTTTTTATATCATCATTCGGCCCCTAGGGTTCTATGTTGGCTTCGGAATGCTGCCGTTGAACTTTCCCTATGATTAATGGCCGATTAAATTGGAAGTGAATATAGACTTTATAGACTTCGAAAAGAGGTAGTAAAACCGGAACTAGACATAATTTATAAACCCCATTTAGGGACAGGGATCGCTCTATACATCCACACATATATAATATCGGAGTTACTTTCGCCAGTCAGCCTCCCCGCATTATTATATGAATGTCTCATATAGCCCCTCAATCTCACGCTTCTCACTGCCACCTTCAACTCATCAACTTTGGAAGTGACACCGCTAGAAATGAGCAGAAGTGAGAGCTCGAGCCCGCCGTCATCTTGGCCATCAACACCGGGCGAGCCTGGATACCAATATACGCCTGAAGCTACGCCTTCAGAGACAGATGAAACCCCACCTTTGCATGCAGTAAACGTCGCACCAAGATGGAACGAGTCAAAGTCAACCATATGGAAGGTGACTGCCACGTTTTGGTGTGCATTTGTAATGGGGTCTAATGATGCTGCATATGGAGCTATCATTCCCTATGTTTGTGTCACCAGCTCAGCTTTGACCCCATCTGTATAAAATAGCTAACCATATTACTTGAATGTTTCAGTTAGAGGTTGACTATCAAAAAAGCTATACGGTCGTTTCCCTAGTTTTCCTTTCACCTTTCGTGGGATATGCCGTATCCGCTATACTGAGCAATTTAATTCATCAGACTCTCGGCCGACGAGGAATCACAATAATTGCCCCGACTTGCCATGTGATTGCATTTGCAGTCATATCTGTCCATCCACCCTTTCCAGTCCTGGTAATTATGTATATGCTGGTTGGCCTGGGGAGCGGATTTCACAATGCAGCGTGGAATGTATGGATCGGGAACATGGCAAACTCGCATGAAGTACTTGGTTTCTTCCATGGATTCTATGGCGTGGGGGCCACAATAAGCCCTCTTGTTGCTACGAGTTTAATCATTAAGGCCGGATGGCAATGGTACTCGTATTACTATCTGATGGTATCTTGATCCTCTCTACCTTACCCTACCACAACTGGATACTGACAAATTAACCATGAAATATAGACCGGGGCAGCTGTGATCTCTCTAATTTACTCCACTGGCGCTTTTTGGGCTGAAACTGGTAGTAAATATCAAGAAGAGAATCCCAGTTTCCCTGGCAGAGGAGGAGCATTCTCTCAAACACGTGTTGCCCTCACATATAAGGTCACCTGGATATGCGCCGTCTTCCTCTTCCTCTATGGTGGAATCGAGGTAGCAATCGGAGGTTGGATTGTTGTCTTCATGACGAACGTCCGACACGGCGACCCATTTCAATCTGGAATGGCAGAGACAGGCTTCTGGCTTGGCATTACAGTTGGTCGGTTCGTGCTAGGGTTTGTGTCGCCACGAATTGGAGAGAAGTTATCTATTGCTATATATATCTTGCTTGCAATTGCTCTTGAGCTCATCTTCTGGCTCGTTCCTGAGTTTATCGTGTCCGCGGTTGCGGTTGCATTTGTTGGATTCTTCATGGGGACTATCTTCCCTGGAGTTGTGATTGTGGCGACAAGATTGCTACCGAAGAATCTTCATGTTGCTGCTATTGGATTTGCGGCTGCCTTCTCTATGGGCGGTGGTGCGGTTTTCCCATTCATGATTGGCGCCATTGCTCAGGCGAAGGGGGTGACAGTACTGCAACCAATCTTGCTCGCCATGCTGGCTGTGTCATTGGGAATTTGGGCAATGATATTCCGACTTCCTCAGCACGAGGTATCGCATCAAGTCTAAAAAGAAAATAAATAATTAGAAGCGGTCGATGCGGCATAGGTCAAATTCCCTGTCACTTCTAAGCCACAACATTTTTGGTTTCAAGGAAGCATAAAGTGTGGAGAGTGACGAGACCTGGTTGTTATATCTGATCGTTTTTATTTCCCGAGTTTGTTCTTTCAATACATCTCCGCACATTTGAAGTTAATTCGAATCCTACGGTGCTCAATCGGCTCGTTTTTGTACGCCATGGAGCAATTTAAGCATGACCAGCACCCTTCCCGAGCATATCGAGGGTACCCATTCCCATCAATTTATGGATAAGAATAGACTATAGAAAACGTTAAAAGGTGACGTAATAAGTCAGAGGGTGGAGGAGGATGTCCCTTTTTTTTCCGGATTTCCAATGGCATTGTGATGTGTCCAATATAAATAGCAGCGGAGCAGTCTAAATGTCTTATTAAACGTCGTTTTTTTATAGATCATGACTCAATGACTAGCAACCCTTCAACAGATCGTATTTATGATTATATCAAATTTTGATTTTGATGAAGTTGGGATTAATGAAGGTGATAGGCCGAGTATCGCGGTGAACCTGCGGCAAGTCGCGTTGATTAACGCGCTATGGAACATCCCGCCCTCACGAACTCCTCCAAACCCCCAACGCTCCTTGACCTACCTCCCAAAGTCCGCTGAATGTGTCGGTCTTTTCCTCGGCTACTGCAGGGTCTGTCTATCCGTGTCCATCCCTTGAAAGCTAGCCAACAGGGTCGACATACGTCATTGATAATTCCTGAATCCATTCCCGTGGCGAGAACCAGATCACTCGCCCCAATCCACAATGCCCATCATGCGGCTCACTGTGTTCTACATTTCTCCTCTTTATCGTCTAGAAGTGTCGCGCAACCCCTAAGCATCTCGAGTTCCGCATCATCGCGTGCATATTCGCAGGATCTTGGCCGAAAACCAAGATATTTGGATCCAGAAGATATGGCTAGGGCAACTGAGACACCTGGGCCGGAGACAAAGCCGGCGGATATCCTCAATGGAGATGTACCCTTGCCTGCTGGTCAGGCAGAGGCTGCATTGGACCCGGAATCAGAAGAAGACATCCCCGTTGATGCGGAAGAGCTAAAAGAGGCGCTCGGCCGACCACCTCCGGTGAATAGTAGCTACCTTCCTCTTCCCTGGAAAGGCCGATTAGGATATGTGAGACGCGCCGTGCTGAGCACAATATAGCCCTCGCCGATGACCCTAGATTCTGACTTGAACAGGCTTGTCTAAATACGTACCTTCGCTATTCAACTCCCTCCGTGTTCTGTTCTCGAACATGTCGAATCGCCTCTATACTCGAAAACCGACACCCTCTCCAAGATCCTGACCAACCCACACACCCGATTAAGAACCGTCCAGACCGCGACCAACCGGCCGATGTTGCACGCGGACAAGCCTTCGTCGAGGGGCTGGCCTTGGCGAATGCACGCGATTTGGTCAAAATCATTCGTTGGAACGACAAATATGGCATCAAGTTCATGCGACTCAGTAGTGAGATGTTCCCATTTGCCAGTCACAAGGAGTATGGCTATAAGCTGGCGCCGTTCGCCTCGGAAGTGCTGGCAGATGTGGGCCGTGTAGTTGCAGAACTTGGACACCGGGTGTCAGTTCACCCTGGCCAATTTACTCAATTTGGATCACCGAGGAAGGAAGTTATCGAGAATTCTGTTCGTGATCTCGAGTATCATTCGGAGATGCTCCAGCTACTCAAACTTCCCCCACAGCAGGACCGCGATGCGGTCATGATCCTTCATATGGGGGGAGTGTTTGGTGATAAGGCTGCCACACTGGATCGGTTTCGAGAGAACTACGCTATGTTGTCGCAGGACATCAAAAACAGATTGGTCCTGGAGAATGACGACGTTAGCTGGTCCGTTCACGATCTATTGCCTATCTGCGAGGAGCTGAATATCCCTCTTGTCCTCGACTATCACCACCATAATATTGTTTTTGACGCTAATGAGGTCCGAGAAGGCACCGAGGACATTATCCCTCTGTACGAGCGTATATCAGCAACATGGTCTCGGAAGAATATCACTCAGAAGATGCATTATTCCGAACAAACCTCACCCGCCATCACCCCGCGCCAACGGCGCAAACACAGTGCTCGCGTTACTACGTTACCCCCTTGTCCGCCTACCATGGACCTGATGATTGAGGCCAAGGACAAAGAACAAGCCGTATTCGAGTTGATGAGGAACTTCAAACTCCCCGGCTACAATCTTGTGAACGAAATAATACCATTCATGCGCCTTGACGAAAACCAGCCATTCAAACCACCCAAAAAGTCCAAGAAAAACGGGGGCTTCGTGGACCTAGAAGGCTCAATACCGCCGTCTCGCACCATCCCAGACGAAGAAGTCGGAATGGGTGGACCAGACGGCAGAGTCTACTGGCCCGAGTGCATGGAAGAATGGCTCCGACCGGCAAAGAAAATCGTGAAGCCTAAAGCTACACCAAGTCCCAAGAAAGGCTCTTCCAAAAAGGGTAAGATGAAGTCTGCCGCGGACGATGCTCCCCTAGATACCCCCATCAAGATAGAAACGCCAGTAAAAAAACCCGCCAGAGCCACGAAACGCACGCCTCCATCGAGCAGGTCTCGCAAGCGCAAGGCTTCATTGATTGAGTCTACCCCAGAGTCTGAAGAGACTGAAAACACTGAAGAGATCTCGGTGGAATTGGAAAATGCTCCGGCTTCGATATCACTTTCTCGACGAAGTTCACGCGTGAAGAAAGTGAATTACACCGAGGACATTGCATAATTGGCACTTGGTAGTTGTTGTATATTAGTCTACGGTTTTTTTCCTCGGATCTTAAATGGCGAGAGTCTTTATGGCTAGATTATAGATCAAGTATCAAAGGTTATACGTGGAAGAGTGCCTTGTACATCCCATCAGCGAAAATGCCTGGGTATCTGCTTTCTGCTTCCATGGGGACTTCACCTGTACGCCCACGCAGCAACGTATATTATAGTTATTTTATGAATAGGATGCTTAATCACTATATGATTATAAATCATATAGACATAAAACAAAAATAACCAAAATACTCTACGTAAATGCAAACTATGACCAGAATTTTCGGTCGCAACGCGGTGAGCATCCGAATAATCAGCGTCATCCGATCTCTCCCCCGCAGCGAATCAACTTTCTACAGCCTTACTCCATGCTCAACTCGGCCCATTTTTTCTTTCGGAATACTCTTATCCTGATCGTACATCATACTACACGAGACCCTGGCGCCTAAATCACGTTTCCGTTGGCCAGTCCTCCGGTCGAGGCCCTCTCTCTTCAGACGCCCGCCTACCACCCTTTCCCCTTCCTTCCCCCGCGAACCTCGACCCAGCAGACTCTCGCATATATTCCGTCTTATCATTGGCGCAAAAGCAACTAGACGAGCCCAATCCCATCTTTGGGGCATCCGGCACGAGACCTTGCCCGCGCTCCGACACCGGGCCCAATCGCGAGTCTACCGAGCGATTGTCCAGCGACAAGCGCGACTCGCTACACGCGATAGGAGACCTGGCGGACGCCTTGTGACTTATCTTCTCGGAACCCGGCGACAGTCAAGGCCGTGGAAATCTACCACAGTAGCCGGTAGCAACCCAGCTGCAAGATACCCGAAATCGATCCGAGAACCCCGTCACGGACCGAAGGACACAACGATAGACCCAATGTCGCAGTCTGGACGATCATCAACATGGGGGCCAGGGAATGGTGATGGTGCTGCTGCCCCTGGTAGCCGCCGAAAGAAGGTCTACGAATATTTCAAAGCGGCAAATGAATTACGACAGACCTATACCTCACAATGGTCGGGGCAGAGGAATGAACACGATGAGGACTACTACAATACCCCTGGTGCATTCCCGGATGTGGAAATTGCACGATCAGGCGATGAGGAGATGGTGGTCTTCCCCAGTTATGCTAGGAAATTGGCAGAGAAGAAGAACACTGGTACCAGCACACGTCCACGACGTGACTCGTGGTCAGAAACCATTGATGATTACCGGGGCGCAACCCATGAGAATGATGATCTATCCTCACCTAGTTGGGATGCAACGGAGGCTGAAGATGCAGTCGTGGCCGTTGACGTGCGTGGCTGGATTTACTCTCCTGGTCGGGGACCGATGAGCCGAAAGCACCGGTTGATGATTGCCCTGGCCAGGAAGCTGAGCGGAATCTCTGCACCAACTGGAGCTGCAAATGATGAAAGTAACGACAAGATTTCCGGGAAGGGAGATGATGAATACATCGACAAGGAGATCCAAACACTAGTCGCTAAGGCTGAAAAGGAAGCAGACCCGGCTTGGAAAGGCTCGAATACGGAGCAGACAAACCAACCTGCTGCAGCATTGAGTAAAGATGAAATAACTGTGGCGAACGCCCATCTTATGGAAAGACTTCGACCGTTCTTGACGAATCCAGTTGGGAGCATGCCAGTGACGGTGTTCTTCTTCAACGACGATGAAAGCAAGTCTCGAAATATCCTGACAGATGAATCAGGTCATTTTACTCTTCGCGCTACACTACCCTTTGTGCCAACTCATATTCGCGTGTTGGCATCTGAGGACCTGTCTGTTGCAAGGCCGATTGAGGTCATTGATCCGGTTGGAATCAGTTTGATCAGTGACATCGATGATACAGTCAAGCACTCAGCCATCGCTAGTGGAGCGAAAGAGATGTTCCGCAACACCTTCATCCGGGAATTGGATGAACTTACAATCGAAGGAGTCAGCGACTGGTACTGCAAACTGGCCAGTGAGGGTGTGCAAATTCACTATGTGTCGAATGCTCCCTGGCAGTTGTATCCCCTCCTTGAGCGGTACTTCAAAATGGTGGGATTGCCTCCGGGCTCCTTCCATCTCAAACAGTACTCGGGCATGCTTCAAGGAATCTTTGAGCCCACTGCAGAGAGGAAACGGGGTTCATTAGAACAAATTCTACGCGACTTCCCAGAACGCAAATTCATTCTTGTCGGTGACAGTGGTGAGGCTGATCTGGAGGTTTACACTGAGATTGTCTTGGCAAATCCTGGCCAGATCCTGGGCGTATTCATTCGTGATGTTACGACCTCAGAAACCCAGAAGTTCTTTGACAAATCCGTCGGTCATCTTGACCAGTCTAAACGCAGTCATAGTTCACCAAATATAGTGGACCACTCGGACGCCGCTACCAACAGACCGACGCTACCTCCTCGAGTCGGCACGACTGTTGACTCTACGGTGCCTGTAGGCCATCATGATGCAGATCCAAAGGATCTTGACCTTGAAGACCTGATTGATCTCACAGATCTGATCATCGGCGATCAGCCACCTCCAGCGGGGCTTACCCACCCCACCACTCCACGGCCACGCCCAGCGAAACCAATCAAACCATCTGCACTGCGCATGGTTTCTACGCCGGCTGATTTGGCGAAGAGTTCCAGGCCATCCTCTTTGCGCAACGTTGCTATAGCTTCCGATGTGCAAGAAAAAGACTCCAAATCGGCGCCAGCACAAGAGGCCCCCAAACGTAAACCACTCCCGCCTGTGCCACCCAGACGCGGAGTGCCCAAGACGGGTTCATTGATAGATGTGGATCCCTCGCCTTCAACCTCTCAGAGTAGCGCTGGGACATCAACGAATGAAGTCCCTTCTTCGTGGCTCAAAGGCCTCGATGATGGTTCTACAGGCGCTCAGAGTCAATCGCAAGCTACACGCGCCAAGCCACCACCGCCACGCCCTCCTCCGCGTCGCACAAACACCGGGTCTTCAACAACCAGTTCAGATCCCAGTGCATCAACTACATCAACTACGCCGGCTCGGACTCCAGCCCCTGCAAGTGGCATTCAATCATACCCAGCGGCAGCCGCCCAGGCTGCATACCAAGGGTTCCAGTATGCAAGCGACCGACTCAACTTCTCGGGATCTGGTTCTGGGCTACGAAACTCCTCATCTAACCAATCACTTGGGAGAGCAGGGACGAATGAGTTTGGCGTGCCGCCTGCGCCCCTCCCAAATAAGCGCGAGGAGCTTTGGCGACGTCGTTGGGATCGCGCAAGTGAAGTGCTTGAGCAGCATGGCGTTGTGTTAGGCAGTTGGCGGGTCGGGAACGATGCACAGCCTATTTGTGCGTGGTTAATGGAGCAGGCGGTGAAAGATATCAAGGCTGGTCGTTCGAAGGGAGATTGTTGATGGCGTGTAACCACACGATATGTCAACAATCAATTCGAGATATATTTTAGAAACAAAGTTGGTATTAATGGTCTGGCCAACTGTCATGATAGACTCTGGTACATAGAAACAAGCCCTTTGCCTTTGATCGTTTTCGACCTAAATCAATACTCAATATAAATTGTATGTTATTTTGTGTTGCTCCTTACCCCTAGGGCTGGTTGAAGCTAAAACCGACACGTACCGATACTAGGCGGGGAAGTCCACGGGTGGGTCACGGGACGTTATAAACGCGCTCAGTGATGATAATTCAATGAGTTGCTATTGGCGAAAATATCAATTATACATCATACGGTTGGTCAATCAGTAATCGGAAGCTGATCCCGAGGTTCTCGTTGGTAGACGACTGTTGGGGTTGCACCTGGGCTGCTTGATGATGCTGACATCACATTTCTCGGGCCTCGGCTCAATTCCAAGGTTTGAAACAACAGTTGCATGATTGGCGACTTATAATCTGGGGTATTTACTCGTAGCTCCCCCATTATTCTCCCTTTTCCCCAAACTCAAACATGCCATCAGAAACTTTCACACGTGCGGAGATCGCAAAGCACAACACCGAGGATTCTCTCTGGTGTATTATCGACCACCAAGTCTATGATTTGACCGATTTTGTCGACGCCCACCCTGGTGGTGCTGTCGTGCTTGCTCAGGTTGCTGGCCAGGACGCAACATCCGATTTTTACAACCTGCACCGCCAGGAGGTGTTGGAGAAATACCGTGACCAGCTTTGCATCGGTGTCGTCGAAGGCGAAAAACCCGAAGTCATCGTGCCTGTCCCTGGAGCTTTGAGTCCCGTACCCTACGCAGAACCCCTATGGCTACGACCCCAGTTCAAGTCTCCTTACTACAAGGAGACCCACCGACGCCTGCAAAAGGCCCTCCGGGAGTTCACGGATAAATATGTGACGCCCGAAGCGCAAGAGAAGGAGCAAGATGGCACCTATATTAGCCAAGAGCTGATTGACCGCATGGCCGAGACAAACATTTTGGCTATGCGACTGGGCCCCGGAAAACATCTGCACAACCGCACCTTGCTCGGTGGAGCTGTGGATGGAAAGGAGTTTGATTATCTCCACGATATGATTGTAACCCAGGAGTTGGTCCGTGCCAATGCCAGAGGTTTCCAGGATGGCAATATGGCCGGTATGGCTATTAGTCTGACAGCTGTTCAACAATGGCTGCATGACCCTGTACTCAAGGAGCGCCTCAATGACGAGGTCTTGTCGGGCCGGAAGAAGATGTGTTTGGCTATCACGGAGGCCTTCGCTGGTAGTGATGTCGCGGGTCTGAAGACTACTGCCGAGAAGACTCCTGATGGAAAACATTATATCGTCAACGGAACAAAGTCAGTCGGATCACCTTTGTTGGTTTAATCAAGAGAATTGCGCTAACAATGTCTAGGAAATGGATCACAAATGGCATGTTCGCCGACTATTTTGTCACTGGCTGCCGTACCGAGAAGGGCTTCTCAGTGCTCTTGATTCCTCGCGGTGAGGGCGTGGAGACCAAGCAAATCAAGACCTCATATTCGACTGCTGCTGCCACTGCTTTCGTGCAATTTGAGAATGTCAAGGTTCCGGTTGGAAATCTCCTGGGCGAGGAGCATAAAGGTTTCGTCGTTATCATGAGCAACTTCAACCATGAGCGGTTCATGATGGTCGCTGCCGTTGTCCGCATGTCAATGGTGGTTGTGGAAGAGACAATGAAATGGTCCAACCAGCGCATCGTCTTTGGCAAGAAGTTGATTGAACAACCGGTTATTCGTCAAAAGTGAGTCTCTTAGATCATTCGCCGCCGAGATTTCTTTTCTAACCCCCCGACAGGATCGCTCGCATGATCTCCCTAGCCGAGTCTAACCAGGCATGGCTTGAGTCCATCGCCTACCAGATGTGTAACATGACATACGCCCAGCAAGCGAAGAATCTGGGTGGACCTATCGGACTCCTCAAGTCACACTGTACCCAAGCCGCAGGCGAGATTGCCAGTCTCGCTACTAACATCTTTGGTGGTCGTGGTATCACTCAGTCAGGAATGGGCAAGGTCATTGAGATGTTCCATCGGACATATAAGTTCGATGCCATCTTGGGTGGAACTGAGGAGATTTTGGCAGATTTGGGTGTCCGACAGGCAATGAAGAATTTCCCGAAATCGATGTTATAGAGAACAAGCTTGTTGAGCGAATCCATCAATCAAGTTATTCATTTCATGAACATCAAAGTGCTTGTATGTTTTGTATGCAGTTCTCCGCTTGGCCAAAAATAGAAAAGGCAAGTGGGGTGGATAGCTGGAGCGGGGTATCCTTTTTCCGACGCCACAGCTTTCCCAAGGCAGTTAGCTCCAGGTGAGATCATCTTGGGCATCAGCGAGCCGCATCATCACCCCATCTCCGAAGATATTCCAAATCCTCTGCCATCTAGTATTACACGTCTGAAATATACAAATTTGTCAAAAATGGCTCCAGCAGATGCGCTTCGGCAGGATAATATCCTTGACCTCGCTGTGAGAGCTATCCAGCCTGCAGGTGACAGACAGCCGAGTCTCAAAACACAATACGAGGCTGTGGCTCTGATCGGCCATGCATGCATGGTAGCAGTTGACTTCAGACTGGTCGGCCTCAGTGAAGATCACAACTTAGGTATGTCAAGTCTGCTTTGATCGCATCGGTGAAATATTACTAACTTCTCTAGAACCATCTACAGATACACCTTCCCTCCCCGCAGAATGGAACGCTAACGATACATTTGCCTTTCGGTACGCACATGTGCAGTCTTCGATGCAGTATCTACTCAAAGTGAGTCGGTTGGGAAATAACGCGGTGATATTTGCATTGGCTTTGGGCGATGACCGGACCAGCTCGTTCGATCTCCCCGTTAAAGACTACATCTCCACCTCTGCGCTCCCACTATCTTCCTCAGAAAATCTCACCGCTTCTCTGCGTGATGTTTTTATCTCGCCGGCCCGACTAGGTGACTTGGTCGGTTTGTTCAAAATCAACGTCATCCAGAAACTCGCACCCGGTTTGTACAAAGAGGGGTATGAAGATCCAAGTCAGCTACCCAGAGCAAGGCCACAAGAAGAAAGACAACCGGATATTCCCCAGGATGGCTCTCTCCCTGAGCCTGCTCGTCCGCGCCCATTTGATGATCCCTTAGCGGTAGCGCCCCGCCGCTCCAACCCACCAGACTTTGCACCGCCCGGGTTCGAGGATGAGTTTGAGATCAACCGGCCTCCACGAGGATATCCAGGAGGACTCGGAGGCAGGAACCCGTACAACATTGGAGAACGAGATCTCTACCCAGCAGGACTTGGTCCTAATGATCCTTTGCGTGGATCTATGGGTCCTGGCTTTGGTCCAGGTGGCGGGGGTATGCATCCTACCTTTGATGACCCTCTCTTCGGCGGCAGAGGAGCTGGTAATGGTGGATATGACCCTCGTGTACCCCCAGGTGCAAGATATGATCCCGTAGGACCTGGTGAGCCACCTGTTGGTCGTAATCGAGGACCGTTTGGTAATAATGGACGAGGTGGGGGTGGGTTTGGCGGGTTTGGTGGTGGATTTGGCGGTGGATTTGGCGGAGACATTATCTAACGAGTGACGATGAAGTGAGATTACAACAAAGAAGAAGATGATTCTTTGTTTCTTAATGACATAAAATCTAATTCAACATGAACAAAAATGACAACAAGCTACAGCCAAGTCTCGATGGCTCTTTATGAGGTCTTCTTCTCCATACATTTTGGGTACATTGTGTGGAACATCTTCTTACACGCATATTTTATTGTCTCGCTAGAGATCTTACACTATCCAATAACGACATATACCCCGTAGTCGTTCTGTACAATGGGGTAGTTGATAATTACGTAGGACATCCTGGAGAAAGCGGTGTGTGGCTGAAGTGTGGCGCATCTGTTCACCACTCTCAACTTGACCTTCCCGAACTCCCATCTCTTCTCCCTTTCTCGCGTTCCCAAGTCCCATCCCCTTATCCCTTGAATCAATCTTAGGAAGTTGTCCTTTAATTGAATTTCCATCTGGAGCGTAATTATTCCACATATTTTCCAGACCCCACGATACCTGCGCCCGTCCACGAATTCCGTTGTTTTCTCACGAGACCGCCCCTCCCCAGCTGGCCCCTCCTTTTCAGCCAGCTGAGTACACCGACGCAATGGATAACAACATGGAAATCGATACTGCGCGGTCCCCCGAGCCACACCGCCTGTCGCCAACAAGCGACCCCGGGTCCATACCGACTCTGGACGGCTGGATCGAGAGTTTGATGACTTGCAAGCAATTAGCGGAGGAAGATGTGCGGCGGCTGTGCGATCGGGTGGGTTCCTTGTTTTGATAGATTGATAACGATGAGATTAAGTTGATCATTTATGTGTCTTCCAGGCAAGAGAGGTATTGCAGGAGGAATCCAATGTGCAGCCAGTGGTATGTTGTTTCTCGGTCGGGTTGTCGTTTTGCCCGTCCAGTCCACTGACCTATCCGAACAGAAATGCCCAGTTACAGTCTGCGGTGACATACACGGACAGTTCCATGATTTAATGGAGCTGTTCCGCATTGGTGGTCCTAACCCGGATACAAACTACCTCTTCATGGGTGAGTGGACGACGGTCGGATGAACGTGTTGTGGGAGTACCGTTCCTAATTTTTCTTGATATAGGTGACTACGTCGACCGTGGTTACTACTCAGTTGAGACAGTGACCCTTTTGGTCTCTCTGAAGATCCGTTACCCGCAGCGTATTACCATCCTCCGTGGAAACCACGAATCCCGACAGATCACACAGGTCTACGGATTCTATGACGAATGTCTCCGCAAATACGGCAATGCCAACGTGTGGAAATACTTCACCGACCTTTTCGACTACCTTCCCCTCACTGCTCTCATCGAAAACCAGATTTTCTGTCTTCACGGTGGACTGAGTCCGTCCATCGACACTCTCGACAACATCCGGTCGCTTGATCGTATCCAAGAAGTTCCCCATGAGGGTCCTATGTGTGATTTGCTCTGGAGTGATCCCGATGACCGATGTGGATGGGGAATCTCTCCCCGTGGTGCTGGATACACGTTCGGACAAGACATTTCCGAGGCCTTCAACCACAACAATGGCTTGACTCTGGTGGCACGTGCCCATCAATTGGTGATGGAAGGATATAACTGGTCGCAGGATCGGAACGTGGTCACTATTTTCTCAGGTATATCTTCCCTTGCTGGGATTGAAGGATCAAAAACACTAACCAGACTACAGCACCAAATTACTGTTACCGCTGCGGCAACCAGGCCGCCATTATGGAGATTGACGAACATTTGAAATACACATTGTTAGTAAACCTTCTTCATCATTTCTTTGGATCTCCTACTGACATTATCCAGCCTACAATTCGACCCTTGCCCCCGAGCGGGAGAACCCATGGTATCGAGGCGCACACCCGACTATTTCCTTTGATAGATTTCATTTTTGTCCTTCGAGAGGCAATTGGACTGGCGGAGAATGGGGTTTGCAATCGAACAGGGCTCTCGCCTACTTAATTCTGTATGGTTCGATGCCTGGCCACTTGTTGATACCAATCATGAAAATAAAAGACCATTTGCAAGACCCAGGTCCATGAGAGTATAGGAATACCCTTGGGGTTAGGGTATATTCCGGATTGCGGGTTAATACCTTTCTCTGATTGATTGAGTTTAACATGCCCAGGTGGGTCTCTTGTTGATATCACTAGCAGGAGGTATACACATAGAAGGCTGGAAATCAATATTATCTCCTTTTGCTGGTCAATAGCACTAGATGGTTGATCACTGGCTGCAGCTTTATGAATGTCAGAAGTTCCATGGAGATTAGACTTCTTATCACTGTCAATGCGAACCCTCTGAGTATTGCTTGATGTCTCTTTGGGGCCTGGCTTCTTCCGCCAAGAACGAAGTCCGCCGAATGAGAGTAGACGCCCCTGAAACTATTGCAAGTATCAGCAATTGAAACTCCACGGCATCAAACGGCTGCCTGAACCTTCTCCAAGGTGCTAGCTCGACAGGCCAACGAGTGATCGTTCAAAATTCCGACGAAATAGGGCTGGTAGGTCAAAGGACACTGCCATGGAGGCTCTAAGAGATATGCACAGCAACCTCTTCCGTGCCTCGAGCAGTTCTCCGTCGACCTTCTCTACATCGAATGGAGTATAAAGTGACAACACTCCTACCGAGATATTTTGTACCACTAGATCACTAGGATTGAACACAAACGGTCCATTCCTGCCACGAAGTTGCTCTGCTCTACCCTTTGCGAGAGCTATGGCAACTGCCTCGACGTACGGCCCAATGAAGAAATTTCTATTCGAGTCTTCTTGCAGGGACCCGATTTCGTCGAATTTAAAGCAACCTGCGATTTGAACCCATGTTAGCATATAAAAGCCACACATCTATTAGATCTCGCTGATCGAAATATGTAATTAACATTAATATGCATGCAATAGTCTATTCATGGTCTCATTGATTGTCTAGTATTAATTATATTATACATAGAAGATGGCTCTATCCGTTAATCCTCTAATGCCCACATTAGCACAACCTGTGCGCTCGAATGATGTACAACTTGAAATGCAATGGAGTTCTTTCGGGTTATTTTGTTTCTTCGGTCTGCTCATGAGACACATTGCTATCCTCGCTCTCGACGTCTCGCCCATCATGAAGCGGAAGAGAAATCCCGTCCTTCTCACTACTCTCATCTCGTCTGTAGTGGCGCACTTTCGAGCTTCCATTCGGAACCCAGAATCGCTGGTCGACACGGCCGACGAAGAAGATAGCCACGACCAAGATATCAATGGTGAAGTTAAAGATATAGAAGCAGGCCTTGCTGTGATACCAGGCTGGGTCGGTGACAGGGCGAGGTGGCATCCAAGAGGTACCGGCACGGAATGATGCGCCGAGGCAGAGCAACGAGCTGACAAGTCCGACGATGAAGACTTTGACGACCCAGTTACCAGAGCCAACCTCTTGAATTCGCTTCCTGTTTGGAGACAGAAGGACAAGCAAGACAAGAGGAAGCGGTAGGAATGAGACTATGGAGAAGTAGGTCTGGCCGTAGAGCTGGATATCACGATCGATGCGAAGGGTGTTTGAGTTGAGAGTATACGAACTCTGAATAACACAAGTGATGACCATAATAATAGTCACAGCGATGAGAGCATACAGTACTTTGAATACCCACGATACTGGTCTGGACCATCCTAGGGCTGGGTAGACAGCTCGGAACATACGCTGTGCGTATAGCAAGTTCAAGATGAAAAGCAGCAACACGCCCGCTGCAACGAAGATCTGTGCTGCAATTGCGATTCTAACGTTCGTCGGATGACAGGCCCAGGCGATGCGCATGATGTTTGCAATAATGCGCGACATGCAGAAACCAAATGTTACGCCCGATGGAATGAATTTGTGGCCTCTTGCGAGGTTGCGACGGAGGAGGGTCATGTGGCAGGCGGCGCCGGTGATGAAAAGAGCGATGAACACGGCGCATATTGGAACATCGAGGGGGATTGTTGGTCGACCTCCTACTGAGGCTATTCTTGACATATAGGGTCCTCCCATTTTCTAAGGGTTGGTTAGGGTTGGCTGTAGAGCAGAGGGTTGGAGCACGAACATGAACTTTAATGTGTAGATATATTTCCTTGCTTCGATTCAGAATGGAATTTTGTCAAAGACTGGTTGTTTTCTTTTTTGGACCGAGCTTGTAGAACAATTGAAGGGAGAAATGTAGAATGTAATCCATACAACCTACTATGTACAAATACCCCCCCAAGTCTTATACTTTATTTCAGTCACCAAGCTCCTATATTTTTCTTCGAAAAAGGGATCAGACCTCGCAAATCGGGCTCTATTTGATGCGACAAATCTACGATTTACCCGCCTTCAGCTAAATCTAACGTGAATTTGTGCTGTCGGTGTCGGGCCTCCTCGCTCCCGGGATTCAAACACGGATGCCGAAACGCCGACCACCGATGGACTTAGTATTGAAGCTCTCGAAGCCAGTACCTATTATCAGGCCCCTGGATGTTGCTGATTATTGTATGATTATTTTTGGTTTCTACTCAGATGAACCTTGGAAATCAGGCGGTACCTAATAACCTTATGCAAACTGTCTATGAAAGTATCATTATAGACATATACCTAGGTAGATAGGAAAGTAGCAAATGTTAGACACTAACAAGCCAAAATTCCCTCTAAATAGAGAGGTACATACAAATGCTTAACACGAAGTTATGTATCCCGTAGGGAGAGATGGCACTAGATTAGAGTTTAATGGGCTTGGAAGAAGAAACAATGTCGTAGCATGTTACAGCAATCTTGTGTTGTGCAAGTGTAACCTCGATAGTTTATAATGGAGGAGATCGCCCATATGTAAATTGTATAATTTATACTATGTGATGTTGATTAGTATACTATGAGGTAGTACACTAAACAGCATGTAGTAACTGGATTGGTATCTTCTACGAAGGGATACTTTATAGTACGAAAAATAAATTATAAAACTATCTAATCTTCTTAATGCCTAAAGATGAAGCCATATTTATGGCCTCATTTCTACCCCTATAGATTTTATCTTCGTTTCTAACTAGTATACATTTTTTAATAAGAAATGTGATATAGAATCATAAAGGAAAAGCCCGAAGAGCGGCATTAGTACTAAGTGCTAAATTCTTTAAGATTTTATTAAATGAAAGTAGTCTGAACTAGAATATAGGCTTAAGATTCGGGATACTTATATTTGTGTAGGACGAGGAGAGCCGGCTTGCTGAAAAGCTTTCGCTTTTGGTGGAAGCCTGGCGGGTTTGTTTGCTGGATAGGCCCGGCTCTGTATGTTGGATTTCGAAATGGTTGCCTCAAGTATGGCGGTAAGTGAGGACTTCGCAATGGAGTCTCCCCCCAGGTTAGGAGTTGATGCTCGTAGTGTTCTCGCCATTAGTGCTTTGTGTGAAACCATTGCATACATTCGTAGCAGTATCTCATATCCAACTTGTTAACTCCAAGTCAAGAAGCTTGATCGCGGCGGAAGCTTTCATGGATATGTCTACTTCGGCTGGATTTCACAGACTGCAGCTCGCAAATTTGTATCCGAACCTGTGATCCACGACTCTAAGGATTCGTATCCTGATTATTAATTGAATTTCACTGGAAGAAATTGATGTAGAAGTCATAGGACTTCCCAAGGCCAACATAGCACTCAATTGCATTGTTGATTGGATCAGTCACCTCGGGGAGAAGTTCACCACCTTCCTGGACAAGGATTCTCGCCTTTTAGACTTTAAAGTCAGATACCCTACACGTCGGAAAAGAGGGATGTCGGGGATTCATAAGAGGAGCACGAAAACAGCCATTCAAAACGCTCAAAGAAGGCTTGAGTCATCGACCATTTGAATAACAAACTCTTTTAATATTCCTGCTCTTCAAGAAGCTGAAGGTATTCGATACCACTATTTGAGAGCTGAAATTAAAACAAATTGTGTTTTAGGAGAAAACCTCAGCCCGCGGACCATAAAACTCCCGCAGACTATTTACCTGATTTTTCGGCTGAGTTGGTCCTCCCCAAGCCTTTTTTTGAAATCCCAGAACGTCGAAACATATGATAACATTTACTTCACTGAGGAATCTTATGTAAATAAGATAGATTGGCCATAAATTATTCATAAATCAAAAGTTTACAGCTTTTTTTTCTTATGCACGTTCTTTATATAGCAGTGCTAGTTAGGGAAGGCAAGCTTAAATCCCAATTTTCTGAAATCTGGCCCCTTGAGCTGGGTATAGGCAAAGCTACTAACATTACAATGTTAAAGAAATAGAACCTGTTGGAGTGATGGATATGTGAGGTAATTTGCCACCAAAAGCCCGTTCGTATAACTAGAACGAACTGAAGTTTTACCATCCAAGGTTCCTGATATTGGGCCATTGATCAGGTGTCCGGAAAACATTCAAGCTTGACAAACTCTAATAAACGGCAACTTTGAGATATGGTTGCTGATCTCTGACCAGAAACTTACTTCGTCCGGGTAGCCGATAGTCTAGACTTTGCCAGTGATCGAAAACACCATATTAAAGCTTAATTAAAGATATGTCAACCACGGACCTCCACCTTACGAGACAATCTAGTCAGAATAGCTGAATGCTCAGTGGTAAATGATGGATCCATCCTTTTGTTTCAAAGAATCGCGGCTGAAGCGCCAAGACATTGCCAAGGAAGTGGTGAAGAAGGATGGCGCAGTCCGAGCCTATCGCATGCTTCTAGCTGAGTCCGGCAAGGCAGATGCATCAGGATGGATATACTCGGTTCACCTATTGGATGAACGCGGAAGGTCAGAAATGGGAGGAACGAATCAGTTTCCAAAGACGGCCCTTCGAGCTGATCATCTTCTCCATATAAGCCTTATAGCGGTGGCCCCGTGTTCTTCAGCCTTGACAAGTTCTAGTGGATACTGGTTTCTGAGATTACTTCTCTCATTATGAATAAAGAATGCACGTAACCTAGACATACCTGGTCCCTTCTTGTTTAAAACACGTCCTCCTCAGGGCCATATCCAAGAGCTTTTATACGTCTCGAAAATGCCAGGTATGATTCATTTAGTCCGCCACGCTGAAGGCCTTCATAATCTGCGCAACAACCCTGATATTCGGGACGCATCTTTGAGTCAAAGAGGTTTCGATTTTGCGGAAGATCTAGGACTTCGCTTCATCCAAGCCCACTCCAACAGCGTCGGTGCCGTGGTGTCTAGTCCACTCCGCAGAACTATTCAGACATCACTTACAGCCTTCCCGCGGATTTTGAGTTCCGCTCAGTATCCCGAAAATTCCGGGAGAGGCGTACGAGACGGCGTGATGTTAGCCTTGGATGCGGATTTGCAGGAGATTACCGACCTGCCTTGCAATACCGGCTCTTCTTTGACCGATCTAGTAAATGAATTTCCCGAGCTAGGGCCGAATATCCAGGCTCTGGATCAGAACTGGTATATCAAGACGGGACCAGATTCACCATTACCTCAATCTGATTCTGATAGGAGGATTCAAATATTAGAACGACTTCAGCAGATTTTGGCAGCATTGCAAAATAGCCAAAAGGACAAGGATATTCTCGTTGTGACGCATCAGGGTGTCATTTCTGTTCTCGCACCTGGTGCGAACATCCCTCTAGCGCAATGGCGGAGTTTCAACCTGTTTAGAAACGCCGCTGGACAGCTCTCGTTGCAATAAGGGAGCGGAGAGCAATTCTGTGGAACGAAAATTGACTTGCGCGTTAATAGCACTATGGGGGACAGATTTCCAACTAAAAGTTTAATGATATCAAAAACTAGGAAGTATTACGAACAGGATATTAAAGTCTCTAGTATGAAGAATATGATATGACATTAAAGTATTTATCGCATGATACCTTTCCTATAACCTAGATTCAAGATTTATGATGTGATAACTAACGTCAACTAGGATCTGTGGATCTCTGGCCAGTCTTTAACACGCAAACGAAAATTCCCTCATTATCAATAACATTTAAAATGTATTTGCGTTGTTGAGTTCGAAACAAACTGAAAGATGCTACTTTCCTGCTATGTGGAAACGGGTTAGTTTGCGCACACCACTTCCGTAGCTTAGGTTCATGACAATGGCCCTTGAGACATTCGCCTTAACCTACACAACCCTCCTTTTTCTAACGAGTCATCCGTTTTCAGCTGGCTTTGTTGTCACTCAGCACATGTCGATGTTTACCACCACAAAATAGAACAAGTTATGGAACGCTCTAGATTTGTTAGGCTCACCTGATAGACGAGGGTCAATTGCCACCGACTAATGCAGACTGATGGTCTGGAACGACAACCACTACAATTCCAACACTGCACTCCCTGAGAATACTGGGAATCATCCAATCACAACTGGTACTGAGTAGATATATGCTTTTAGATATATGCTTTGGTGACTTGGCTTTTCAACTGGATGAGGAGTCTGATGCATCTGAACGTCATATCGATCTATACCACGATCTAACAGCAAAAATGACCATGTCTATGATATTCTAAATCCTTTCATCTATCGTCATGATGACACATTCATTCACTTTCAATTGGGATCAGCACAGTCATCCCACCGCGATGTTCGAAGTTAAAAGGATGATGAGGTGCCACCTATATCCTGCAGGTATTGCAACATCTGCTTCAGTACAGACACAGATCTTCAAATTGAAACCCTTCCTATCCATTCCGTTTTTGCAATGTCATTGGACAATGATCCAAACGTTGAGGTCGCGCGTGGCACAGATGGTGTAGTCTGCAGCCTCGACCATCTTCAAAAACCATGGTCTCCTCCCGCTACTGGTGCGGTGGCCCTTGACGACGCTAAGAGCGTCGCCGATAAATACCTGGTTGAAATGGCAGACGAATACCGCATTCCCAAGCGCATTCTGAGTAACGCTCCTACCAAATTCTCCGATCAAATCGTGCTTAAAGATGCACCTTTCGAACTGAAGTTCGTCGAGGAACGGTCTCGTTATAAGAGCACAGCATTAACCTACCAACAAACATTGCTTGGATTGCCAGTGTGGGATGCCAAGATCAGCGTCACTCTAGATGAATCCAAACGAGTGGTCAACTCTCTGAGCAGCATCAGCCCAGACGCCTCTGCACCCGGCAAACCTAAAGATGACGCCAAATACCTGAAAGCTATTGATGAGGATGGTCTTCGCCAAGCTTTAGGATTCCGCAAAGGCGAAGGTGAAATCAGCATCAATAAGCAGCGTCTTCTTGTCTATCTTTTTAACAAAAATGACAGACAAGAGATAGCTAGTGAAGGAGAAGATCCTGATATTCATGGAAAACCTTATGCGCCTACGTTAATTCTGCATGACATTTCTGACACAATTCAACATGGACGGTACTATGTAGTAAGAGAGACCCTGTTTACTCTACCGCTCTCCGGACACGGTAACCTTAACTGGCGAGCATTTATTGAAGTGGAGACAGGATCTATTCTCTACTTACGGGCTCTCACAGCCTGTGTAAGCCGACCTGTGAATGGCTGGGTATTTACCAAAGATCCCGTCACGAGACTGGGAAACACTGCCCCTGCAACAACGGGCAGTATAGCTGAGTTGAACCTTCTCCGTGAAAAGGTTCTTCTTCCTGATACTACGACGACAACCCCGCAAGCTCTGATGGGCCAATATGCCGAGATTAAAGATGTTCAATCACCTTATATTCAGCCTCCAAACAGTTCTACCGGGGAATTCAACGCCAGCGTCGAAACAGACGATTTTGCGGCGGCGAATGCGTACCATCATATCGCGAAACTCTTCAGGCTCGTGGCTGACCTGGGTTTCTCGGTTGAAACTTTGTTCAATAGGACAGAGTTTCCCGTGCCTGTGGACCATCGTGGCTTCAACAATGAAGCAAATGCCGAAGCTCCATCAAACCAAGATGGCGATGGGTCCGGAGGGTTCATCTTCGGCCGCTCCGATGAAAATTCGCAAATTGGTATTTCTGCAGATTTTCGTATCGCCGCACACGAATTTGGACATGCGCTCCTATGGGATGCTATTAGCTGGCCGGGCTTTGGTTTTGCTCATAGCCCCGGTGATGCTTTAGGTTCTATATACTGTGATCCAGGGAGTAACGCACCAGATCGGTTTGATTCATTTCCTTGGAGCTTTATCGTCCGTCGTCGTCATGATCGTGACATCAGCGCCGGCTGGGCATGGGGTGGACAAAAATATAAAGGGTATGATCCTGGGTTCTACCTTCGAGAGCAGATCTTGTCCACCACGCTTTTCCGCATCTATCAGTCCATTGGTGGAGATGCGATCAAAGATCTTAGCAGGCAAACTTGGGCATCGAAATACACCCTGTATTTGATCATTGGAGGCATCGCGACGATCACGGCTACGGCGGAGATGCCGCACCAATATGTTTCAGCAATGATGCTTGCGGATAACAGTTGGATTACAATTCCTGGATTCCCTAGTTTCCCTGGAGGAGCCGCCAGGAAGATTATTCGTTGGTCATTCGAGAAACAAGGTCTTTATCATCCACTCAATAGTCGGATTCCGGTGACAACAAGAGGGCCGCCCCCACTCGTTGACGTGTACATCAATGATGGGAGAGACGGCGATTATGACTATATATCTGATTTTGATGATGCTCCTGGTGTCTGGAATCGCCAAGCTCCAGATGGAGGCACAATCAACCAGCCGCCCGCGGTGGGCGCTACCAATTACTGCTACGTCACGATCGGGAATCGGGGCACAGGAGTAGCAGAACAAATCGAAGTCGAGGCGTACTATTCCACTGTCCCAAGCGCGAGAGTCTGGCCTGCCGACTTCACAATAATGACCGCTTCGCCTGCTGTCAATATGCCCGCATCCATCAACGGGAAGCGACAGCAGACTTTTACCATTGGGCCTTTCGAATGGAATCCTAATGCCGATCCTTCATTTCGTAAGCATAGCATACTTGCGGCCGTCAGTGCTAACGCCGATCCCTCCAATATCCATCCTGATAGTGGGTTGACATGTGCGACTGGGCCGACGGATGTTGACAAGCTCGTTCCATTCGACAACAATCTCGCGATGCGTACAATTTGAGCTAAGTCGATAAGGGTCGCTGTCTAAAAACATGAGGAATGACAGTACCATTGACGGACAAAGTGCAAATGGAAAGGATTATTCTGGACTCTCCCTTAGTACGGGTATTGCCTGAAACAATGGCGGAAACCCCACATAAAAGTATGATTGAAGCTGTTTGGGTTTCTTCCTTTTTAATATTGTTTTCACCACTATCAAATCCTGAAAACCGTCGGGCAAATGAATTTATCAATCAGTTAACGCAAAAAAAAAAAAAGGTTCGGCCGGTGCCTAGCTATTAGGCAAAGTGTGTCATTTGGGGCGAAGATGTTGTATGGCTAATATCCAATGAATACCTTACTTCTTTCACTGTGTTTAACTTGAATACGAACGAACTAATCAGATTTATTATTCTTTTTTTAGCCACCCTGTGCACCCTCAACGGAAAGTTATTGTGGTTATATGTATAACTGGGCATAATGGTGTCAAACCGCTAGAGGAGCAATAAAATATATGCCCTACGATCAAGAGACAAGAACCTGATCTACCGGTCCTAGGAGATAGTGTTGTCGATCAGTTTGCAGATATAAATGTAGGCAATAGGAAGAAAACGCGATACATAACCGGGCAAAAAACAAATTAGAGGCATTATGTTAATGCACAATAAAATATTAATAGTATAAGTTAAGCTTAACCTTGAAAAAATTATAAGAAATATAGGAATAATTAGCTATATATCTCCTTATCGGACACTAGTATAAAGATGACGAACACGGAAGTGAATACTAGCCAGGCAATCGTAGTACGGGAGCTAGTCGCTCGAGGAAGTTAAGGTTAGTAAAATAGGCGATGGGGAGATACTAGTAGAGCTGTATGCTGCATGTATCTGTCATAAAGACACCCTCCTGCCATCTGTTTCAGGTGGCATTTGGTGCTTAGTATCCTAATGGGGTTGGGCATGAAGGTATGAATAGGCTATGTTGTCTTCGGTTTAGATAAAAGGAAGTTTTCTAATTAAAAATTCCTCTGGTTAGGCACCGGTGTTGCTCGTGCTATGAGAAAGGATTTCCATTCTGAGAAGTTGGAGATCCAATCTTTCTGTCTTTTGATTCTTGTTCTACTTATTAGTAGTGTGAAGTTTCCCACCCCTTGTATTGTGATACTTTTCCCTAAGAGTTTGTATCTATAAAAAAGGATATTTAAAAAGCCCAGCTAAAAAGACTTAACTAAAAAGATATCAAAAGGCCGCATAAGCGGCTGACTATCCTTGTCATAATTCATCATTCAGGCGGAAAACTGTGATCATCTTTTTTCCATTTCGCTCAATTCGTTGGGCCAGCCGAATGACAGATCATTAAATGGCTCACCTGCCGGTCTAATCTCGGAAAACCATAGATATTTGCACAGCCAACTTTGAGGCTGACAAGGAGAGAAAAAGCCATCGAGACATTGGATGCGCTAAACCAAATCGGGCGCAATTCGCGAGATGTGGGTCTCGAAGTAGATACCTCGCGAGTTGCACCAGAGAGGGAACTAGTTCAAGTATCAAGCTTTTTATTTTAGGTTGGTAATGAGATATATAAGACAGCATATAGGCCCTCTGTGCGTGAATTCTGCTGCCATAGCTTCGAACTCCAGAGACGCAATCCTTTGTCATGGCGCAACACCGATATCATTCATCTCCTCCGCCGTATAGGGTTTCGTCGAGTAATTTATACTACGACAACTCCGTCCCAAACAGTAATTATGAGTGGACACAGCAAGAGCCAAGCTACGCCATATCAACCCGACCGATTGATCATGTACAGCAACAACCCGAGCGTTGGTCTCCCTCGGCATACCCAGGTTCCGGCGATACATATCAGCAACCATGGGTTCAATATGCAAATACAGAACAACCAGTAACATCCTCGTACCCAACCCAGATGCAAAAAAACTTCTTTGAACAGCAAAATGTTGCGCCGCGTGCAAGACCATGTGTGATACCTCGTAAGAACACTCCCATCAACCGCCAACAGCCATATATTAACTCCAAGCAGAGATTACCAAAGTTTTCGGTGGCGCCAATTTGAGTCCCTTCGCCAGAGCCCGGGCTAGGGATCTCGAGGTCCAAGCAGGGCTGACCCAACGAGACCTCCTATGTTTCATCGATGGCCTCAACGAAGCGTTCTTGGCCAACCCCGCTTTGCAAGCGACCAGCAAAATTGGTATGCTTGTCGGTTTTGTCCCGCTATTAACAGCCCAGGCGGTCGGGAGCGGACTGCAGTTGGCTGCAGGCTTGGGCAGTGCGGGTGTCTCAGTTGTCCGGACCAAGCAGTATTTGAAGAAGGCCAATGAGGTCATTTTCAATCCAAAGGGACTCTTGGTCAGAATTGTCAAAACCGATAAGATGCTCTCACTAGTTGGACTCCAAAATTCAATGGTCTTTTCAGGAGAGCAGTATCGGGTTCTTGTCGGGGATGGGGGTCAAAGCCAGAGCCCCCTCGCAACCAGAATGGCGGCTCTGGGTAACAGCGTGATGCCGCTGACCTTCGACGAATTGGCTGCTCCTGCCGATGAAGACAACTGGATGAAGAAGTGGGGGGCTTACTCTGCGCAAAAGGCAGAAAAAAAGCAACTTGAAAAATTGCAGAAAGCGGAGAAAAAGTATAAGGAATCAGACAAGAAAGACAAGAAAGATAAGAAGAGCCGACGGGATGAGCGGAAGGTGGATGACGCAATTCTCGATTTACAAGACAGCATAGGTGACATCAAGCAAAGAATGCAGTTCTTGGATCCAAGGCAGCCAGATCAAGCCAAAACCGGGCGGGAGTTGATGCGAGAGCTGAGACGGTTGGAGAGGAAGTTGACTGAGCTGGAGGAAGACAGGGAAGACAACATGTCTCAAAACAGCGACAAAAGAGAAAAAAGACAAGCTAAAAGAGACCAGAAGGAAACGAAAAAGGTCAACAAGCTTCAATGGATAGTGATCTTGCCGGCGGATACAAGGACAGGTGACGAGGAGCATGATTTGGATTCGGATTAGGAATGAATGCGTGGTTCTTATGCAATAGTTAGATATCCTTTCCACTTCATATCGCAGATAGACCAATTGGCACATGCATTCACTATAAGATCAAATTTCGTGGTAGCGATCCGTTCTCAAATCTCAGCACGCATATCAGCGGGTTTTCTCAGCATATTCTCTGACCTCCCGACCTCCAACCCATGTGAGTCAGCGACGTCTGCCATGACTCTTTCCAACCACCCTCTGATCTCAGTAGATTTCCGATCCAGATGTACATACGCGACGTTCAGCGGAAATAAGAGCATGAATGCACCAGTGCTCTTCAAATAGTGTAGGTGATAATCGACCGTCCGACATATCTCAATTGCTATGTCATTTCTGTTCCCCTGCATGGGGAGGAGTGGATCACTGAAGTCTTCAACCTGAATGTTATCCAGGTCAGCGCCTGCTATCTGAAGAGCTTGCATGAGAATGAGACGTATTGCATTATAAACAATGAGCTCGACGCCGCGGTGAGGATGTTGGAACCAGATGACGGATTTGAATGGACTTGGAGGTAGAGATATTGAATCAGAGGAGATGTATTCGATAGGTGTGGTGATGAATGTCGAGTTTGGGAACTGCGATTCCCAATTCCAGCGCCAGGAATGCAGGGCTTCAAGGGTTGAGAGCGCTCTTGGAATAAACTCCAATGTAAACTCTTCTTTGCTGGGGTCACAAGGGTGACACAATACTGCCTCGCTTAGGTCCTGCAGTATGCCGGGAATATCGCACATAATGTCCTGCAGCAAGTCTGTGGGTGTTTTTGAACCAAGACCTCGCTCAGCCCACGGTATGGTTTTCCAGGCGGGATCTTCGAGGAAACACCGTTTTCGTTCTATGATATATCCAATAATCTATCGTTCATTTAGTAGGTTGACAGATTTGAACGCTAAAGGGACCCTGCACTCACAACACATGATCTGAGAGTCGGCATCATAGCGAATGCAATGCCAGATTGATGTCGATGGGGCCCTCTTAACGACATCTAAATCGATATTAGATTCCTACATCATGACTAGATGACAAGATTCTAGCACTCACCAGTCTAGCTAGCCCTTGATAATGAGAAAGCCAAGCTCTGGGCTGGGTAAGGGCGATCAACTCGTAGATAGCCAGGCAAATGATGGCCACGAGGACATCGTCGCCCATCGCCTGATCTTGGCGCAGTAGTTTGGTCTGCAAATCTTGGAGAGCATGGGCATAAAAAGATACACCTTTGCGCATCACCTGGTGTTGCTTATTGACCTTGGCAAAATAGACCATGGCTAAAGCACGGACCGAGACCGTTGATAGCTGGGCTTCGTTGCCTTGGTGTAGAAGTATCGAGGTCCATGCTGGCACATGTGGAGATGCAGGACCATCATTCCAGTTAAAGAGGCGATTAAATAGGAAGGTAGTCACGATGTCGTTCTCGCTCCATGGTGGGTTGACACTCAATCGGAAATTGATAATTGGTACTGGTTCCACCGATCCTGTCTCAGAAGAGTCTGAGCAGCTCGATGGTAATGCCAACCTCTGTGTAGCCCTTTTTCTCAGGTGACTTGTCTGATCAATAAACTGGGCAAATTCCACATAACCCTCACATTCAAAACCACTTTTTTGACACCGATGACAGAGCGGCTTTTCTTCATCTAGGGTTAGAGGTCAGAAGTGCGTACGAAGTACTTGCGAATTAACCCATACCGCATTTAACTCTTCGACGTCGGCAGGTGCGACACCCTTTGCTTCGGCCTCCAATACCGACCATAATCCATTCGAAGAGAAACGAGGCTTGACATGATGTCGAAAGCTATGTTACAATACATGGCTGAAAACCGAGTCAAAACCCTCGGATAATACATGGACCGCTTTGCGGATCCCATGCAAACCTTGGAAAGAACATAATAAGCTTAGTCATTTTAGAGTCATCCACATCTGTCATCAATACCATACCTTACTGTACACAAGATTTCTGTCACATGAGATACCGAACTGCCTAAATGGTGGGACTGATTAGAGCGGCCAATCAAAGATCGCTTAGTGGGGCTGATCGGGCTCATCTTTAGATTATAGAGTCCGTTAAAAGGTGTTGACGATTCCTCGGGGTAATAATTTTGAAAATGATTGCAAATTACTGTAACTTTGTTGTTAAACGTGACATTTGGTGAACATGGATTAGAACTACGCTCAAGGCACGATGATGATGTCAATATTCCGAAGGAACTCGAATTGGCCGACGAATATTGGGAGGAGACAAGTGTGATGGAGGGGGATGAGATTCTAGATCTAGCCATACCGAAATGAAAAATAACCCCATATTTTGCCGAGAGTATTAGTTCTCAAAATCTAGTGCTTTCTCCCTGCTTTTGCGAAGTAGTCACCTTCTGTATAACATATGTTTGGTCACGCGGCTCGATAAGATACGAGGAGGTATGAAAAGTCCATTGCAGATCATTTGCAGCATCCGGGGATTTTGTCTAAACCGGACGTTTCTCCTAAACTAGCTATGTATGGCGACGCGGCATGGCTTGATAGGCTATGGTTCCGAGTCTGTGGACACTCCGAAGACAATGCCATTGGAATTTCACACACATGAGCCTAAACATAGTTAAAGCCTAGGCTGTTGTGTAACCTTCCACTGCATACCCGAGCTTGCCATCGTATGCCTAGGTATGCTGTGCTTTTGTTTAATTCCAAACTCCCGGTCTTCGTGGTAACTCAAGAAATAAGTCTAACTTAAAGAGGTCTCTAATGCAGACAATACAATAACGACCGTCGAAATATTTTTTGTGCACCCCCAAACTACCCATATAATACCCAACACATGAATTGAGGTCATGATCTTCATTGTTCAACGTGTCTGCAAGTGTAACCTATGTGACAGTAAACCGGATACCTTGGCTTTCCATTGACATAAAACGTTCTGCACAATTTGTATATAAGGGACTTCAATATAACCTCTAAAATTTACACAGCTTAACAGCCCTCCAAATCACTACGAAAATCGGAATTAACATATTAAAAAATTACGCTGCTCATAATCTAGTCATGACAACCATTCAGACATCTTCTGGGGGTGCTCCGGATCCCACGGAAACTGTCCTGGTGACTGGAGGCTCCGGCTTCCTCGCATCCCATGTCGTCCGTGAGCTATTGCACCAAGGATATTCTGTCCGAGTCACTGTTCGATCCGAGGCTATGGTAAAGAAGGTCCTCCAAGCACATGCTCCCGACAGCCAACGGCTTTCATATGTCCTCGTTCCAGATATGATCATCCCGGGTGCATATGACATAGCTGTCCAAGGTGTCACCGGGGTGTTTCATGTATCTTCGCCCTGTACATTTAACGCGACAGACAACACCAATGATCTTCTCATCCCAGCTGTATCCGGGACTCGAGGCATCTTGCAGTCCATCAAACAATATGGGCTAGATGTCAAGCGGGTTGTGTTGACGTCGTCGATAGCCGCGATGATTGATCCTAGTGTTGGTTTGGACCGTGATTATCATTATAACGAGGAAGACTGGGCTAAAACAACTTGGGATGAAGCAGCCAAGGGGTCACCAGTTGTTGGATACCTTGCTAGCAAACAGCTTGCCGAGCAGACGGCATGGGAATTTATCGAAAACGAGCAGCCTTCTTTCGACCTTGTCACTATTTGTCCGGCAATGATTGTATGTTCTCTAAATCTGATGCAATGTTATACAGACTAAGTGAGATTTAGATGGGACCAATTATGATTCCAACCCACGATCTGTCCGCCAACCTCTCTCTTGGCTCTGTGTATCAACTCATGGAGGGAAAGCTAGACGTCCCAGGAGAAACGCCTTTCCCTGTCTACGTTGATGTCAGAGACGCAGCTAAAGTCCATATCCGAGCCTATGAAGAAGCCATTGCCTCTAATCAAAGATATTCGACTTCGTCCGGCACCTACACCCAGCAGCAGTTAGTTGATATCATGAAAAGGCACTTTCCCTCTCTTAAGGGGCGCCTCCCTGCTGGAAGAACCGAGGAGAGTGATTTACTCGGTATAGATAGCAGCAAGGCGAGAAAAGACCTTGGATTTGCTCCGAGGAGCCTTGAAGAAACGATAGTGGACACTGTGCATCGGTTTTTGGAAATCGAGCAGATTGAAGATTGAACTACCGGGTGAATCTGACCTCCTGTACTTTTTTATTTCGGGTTAAGTAGCTATGATCCTTCTGTGAAAATTAAAAATTGGGATTCTTCCAGACTACACGAGCTTCATCATGTCTACAATAGCCGATTAGTTGACCCATCTGTCTGGGTACTTCCCGCGAGTCTGTTTTCATCCAGTTCAATTTCAAGTAAATTGTTTAAACGAGACAAAACGAGTTGATATTTCCTCATGTACAAAAATGTCTAGCGGAAAGAATGATTCTTCGCCTTCTTAGCCAAAATCTCATCAACCTCCTCGGCGTGCTTCGAGAAATTGTCCACTAAGCTATCCCACATTTTGGGCTCATGCTCATGTTTCTTAGTACTATTCCATGCATAATCAGTAATTGTGAAGGGACGGCAAGACTCGAACATGAATGCAACTGATGCTTTAGATATCTGCATCGCTGGTGGTGTATTATCGGTGGCGTCCTTGAACTCTTCGTAGGCAACACCATGGGGGACCACTGTATGAGATATCAGCATTGACTTGTACTCGATGGGAAAATTCCAGGATGATCTTACTGCCACATTCAAATGACACACTTCCCGGCCTGAATTCGTCCGAGCGGCCACCATAACCGCCGTAGATTAAACCCATTAGCTCGGACGCCGCGTTGCGGTGGTAATAGGGAGGCCGATATGTGTCTTTTTTATCATTAGCAATGTTCATAAACCAATAAATTGACCAGACATACGTGAGGCAACATCCCACCGAGGAGAGAAAGTGAGGAAATCAGCCAGAGGCGCGGTAAGATCGCGGGACTTGGCTGTTAGGACACAGAAAATAGACGGGTCGATATGATCCACAGAGATCGAGCCGACGTTGACGAACTTGGTCAAGTCATATTTATAGGGAACCTAAATGCCATTAGTTAGCTGAGATCCAATCATGACAAGGACGCAACTCACATAGTTTCCATGCCAGGCTACGACATCATATGGGCTGTGGTTTTGAGTACTCTTGAAGAACTTGCCCCCAAGCTTGTAAATAATTTCCCATGGCTCTTGAGCCACCTCATACCGAGCAACAGGACTTAAAAAGTCCCTTTCATTTGCAAGACCATTAGCACCAAGGGGTCCCAGCTCAGGGAGCTCGAATTGCGTACCCCAGACCTCAAGGATGTAGCCACGCGAGGGACCGTCTGGAAGATTGACGCTAAAGCGGATACCGCGCTGAATAATAACTATCTCACCTGGCTGCACAAAGATGGGGCCAAATTCAGTTTGAATGTCGAGTGCTCCCTGCTGTGGAACAATGAGAAATTCACCATCGGAGTTAACAAATGCCTTCTTCTTCATGCTTGTGTTGGCGACGTAGACATGTGTGGCCAATCCTTCGCGCAGTGTGGGGTCACCTGAACCAGCGACAGTCTTTAATCCTGAAACGAAGTCGACCTCTTCGCTTTCGGGGATATCAAAGGGGTGCCATGCTAGCTGGGTAGGGGACACATGGATGCGCGGGTTCAAGGGTAGGAAGTTTGCTTCGGTGTCCTTGTTGTCTGGCAGTTCTGTCTGCAAGAGATGTCAGTGCCGACATACAGGACAAAGGGCAAGAGGTACTTACGAAGCCCTGGTGGGCGACAGCAGGGCGGACACGGTATAACCACGCCTTCTTGTTACAGTGTCGTGGAGCGACAAAGGCAGTGGCTGTCATCTGCTCGGCGTAAAGACCGAACCTCACATTGCGAGGGCTATTTTGGCCGTGTGGAATAGTTCCAGGGATTGCTTCAGATGTAAAGCTGTTCAAGGGATGTTATATTAGCATTTCAAGCCAACCTTGGAGATATAGGCTATGTAAGAACACATACGCGTTGCCAAAGCCGGATTGATACTATGGAAGAGTTAGTTAGGGAGTTTTTGGATATCACGATGAACCAATATACCTCATAAGGATCGTTACGCCTTGTGTTGAAGGAAGGGATAGTTCCATCCTTTTGGGTCTCTGCCCAGTGGAATATCTTTTGATAATCCTCAGAGTCCGATAAAGAATCAGTAGAAGGCATAGTGATGAAGATGGCTAGAAAATAGAGAATGAACCAACTAGATAGAGTAGTGATTGTTCTATTCGTCTACTCGGGAACACTGGGGATGCAACACCCCTATATATGTACTTCAGCGTAAATGATCAGACCAGACTTGTGGGGTCACTGAGTCAAAAAGAGAAAAAAAATCAATGATAACAATAAAGCAACCCAAGACCCAAGCAAAATTATCCATTCGATTCGTTTACCGGGGGAGAAATATACAGCAAGGCACGGATGTCCCTCGGGAGATCCGGCATGGCCACGAAGGATCAGCTGAACACACGATGATGGCGCATTACATGTCTTAGCGGTGGATCTCCCCCCATGAATCGGCAAAACCATGGTCAATCGACTTGCCGGGCTCCCCTAGTGGACCAGCTTCGGGCGATGGATTTGCGGAGAAATAGCACGCATGTGAGGAGGAGATAGACGATCCCACATGAGTAAGGGCTGAGTAACGGTGGAGGCTTGGCCGATGAAGAGAGACAAGGACGTCAGGGTTAGTTTTGTTGGAAGTTTGACGGTATTAAGATGGTCGTTCAACTGCCGAGATGTTGGGGACCCGAAAAGAAGTCGTCGGCGTTGGGTAGGTACTGGGTGCCGAGACAACTGGCCAATTATTTACAACAAAAGCAAAATTATCATTTCGCAGTAATAATTCACTAGATTGTGTATATATTTTTTCTCTTGCTTTAGACTCATTTAGCACTAATTTAACAGACTAATCCTCCCTGCAGTCAAAGCAAATACAATAGGCATGTACGCGCTATTTCCTGCCTTCTTAAGAATTTTGCAATGCTCGACTCTCCGACGAGCAGCGAACTGCAACTCATCAATCTCTTTACACTCCCCCAGAGGTCCAAAAGCAAATCTAAGATCTGCAGACCAAGGTCCATCACCATTGACAAACCGAATCCAACGCTGCCGCATCTCCTGTCCAACAGCGCTAGCCGCAGGATTAAACAATAGATCTACGCCGTCGAAAAGAAACAGTAGATCAACGGCATGATGTGCGCGACTTGAAGGCTGCCAGGGATTAGACTGGTCTACCACATATCGGAAGACAGGCTTGTTGGCTGCGCGTAACTTGTCGGTAATGACTTCAACAGGGAGGGTATACCGAACATCATTGACGAGATCTAGAGCTCCCAGCTTCGCAGCAGTTGGGCGATCACCGACAATTTGGTACATTTTCCGAATTTGGGTGCCCCATTGGGTATTATTGTCGAATGCAGCGGCGATTGTCTCTCCGTCGAGGAGCTCGACGCCGTTTCGCCAAATAACAGACTGAGTCAAATATTAATGATGTCCTAGGACTAGACATATCTAAGGCTTTACTTACCTCGTACTCGACATCACCAATCATTACTTCTTCAACCTGCTCGGGTCTGGTTTCCCAACCTGTCAGCTCAGGCTCTTCTTGGATCCACATTGTATTCACATTGCACTCGCGCAGTGCTTGCACCAATGCAGTAACGGAGGATTCGCGCAGTGAAGTTTGGCCAAGCTCTCGGACTTTTGCCTCTAATCCTCGAATAAGACCGTCTCCTTTTTCGACCGGTAGCGGGGAGGACAGGTAAAGAGTTCCAGATGCCATGACAGCCCTTTTCACAGGAGGTCCAGTGATGAGATGAGCATGGGTATAGATAGCACCAGCGCTTTCGCCCGACAAGGTGATATTTTCCTACTGGTAATGAGCACAGTCAAGTAGTCGCAGGAAACGGTGAATATCCAACTTACAGGATCACCCCCGAAACCAGCAATATTCTGTCGCACCCACTCAATGCCTAGACGCTGGTCTTTTAGAGCTAGATTCCTTTCTTTGCCATCTCCGAAGCTGAAAATATTTAGGCGGTAATTGATCGAGACGAAGATGATAGGTTTTCCTGCCGTGATAGAATCTGCGACAATCTTGGTCGGGTCACAAATATTGGAGGCTGCGGAGCAGAATGTGACGATCTGAGAGCCGCCATGTATCCACACGAGAACAGGAAGAGGGCCTGTTATGGAAGATTTGGGAGGACATGTAATCTCTAGATTCAGGCATTCGAATTCATCCTCTGCTTCGGGGGCAATGGGGAAGTCCTCAGGAATACGGAGGAGATGGCGGACATCCACGTCTGGTTGAGGACATATCGGACTATATCAAATGTCAGTATAGGAACTTGGTTGTATCCCAAGGATAGTCTGTTTTTGTCTTGTGTGAATACAGCTTACCCATATTTTGAGGAATCAACAACAGCCCCATCGAAACTGCGTACAGGCTCGGCCTTCTCGAAGCGTGCAGGGATACTAGCATATTTTATACCCAGGAATTGATGAACGGGCACATTTTGATCATCACGCTGGATGCCCTTGAATGTGCCATCCAGGGCTAAGTGTCGGATTTCAGGATTCGCCATAGTGAACGCTCAGAACTTCAGAACTGTATAGGCGATGAAATTAGATTGGGAACCTCGGCCAATTCAGGTGACATGGCTCCATAATCACGGCTCATGTCCTTTCGAACAAGTCCCGAGTCGATATTAGCACGTCCATGATCTTCGTGGGGCTGCGGGGAATACTTGTGGGGCTCGTCCAGGACGATTTATTGAATCCCTTTTTCCTTTGTTTTTCAAATTTCGGTTAGAGTAAGGTAGATATTATTGGATGATACAATGTTGTGACTAAACACTCGGAGCCCCTGGTATGATTTCTGTGTGATGCCAAGAGGAGGATGTGTAACCCCGACAATTAAGGCACCAAGGCCGATATCAATTTTGCCTGTAGGGCTGTCAAAGTTGACATAAACAGAAATTATGAAGTATATACAAGGCAGATTTCTTTGCTTGGCTTTACCAAATCATGGACCAGGAGCGCTGCCGGTCAATTGGACTTCATTCTCTGACTCGACCGGCTTCCTCGAGATCCAGCCACCCACGAACAACAGGATTGGGACAGACGATATGCCAGCTATTAACCCTAACGCCCATCCCATCGCCCCCCAGCCAGCCTCCTGACGAATGAAGCCTGCAAAAAATGGCCCAATCAGACTCCCGGACGCGAACCCCATATTCGACAGCCCAAAGGCTAGAGCCATAGCACCACCGCGACCGAAGATATCAGGAGTTTTATCTTCCTTCTCCTTCACAGCGAAGAAGACCTCGGCAATGAGAGGTGGCATAGCCACCGCAAAGCACAGCCCAACGCAAGCGAGAAGAGCACATAGCAGAATCTTGTGTTGCATCGAGTTATCCGTAACAAAACGCAGGAGCACCATCACAGGAACGGCAGCGAGAAATGCCCCTGCTGCGAGGTAACGACAGGATTTGGGGTACTTGTCAATAATGTACCCTGTCAGTGGGTCAACTACGTGTGGGACCATGAGAGAGATAAAGATTAGTCCCTGGCCACTCTGCTGCCACCCGAATGTCTCTTGCACGAAGAGTGGAAGGACACTGTCAAATGAGGTCAGGACGATTGATAGGATGAAGTACCCCCAAACAGAAACAACGAGACGCGGCGAGCTCAACAAAATGACGATACGTCCGAACGCACTCCGCGAGGGAGGAGAAGGCGGTTGGGATTCACGGTTCTCAGAGGGCTCAGAGGGTTCAGAGCCATTTGTGAGCGGGGTGGGAGGCTCTGAGGTTTGAGCTGACTTCTTTTCCGTGGATTGATCTCCATTCACAGAGAGAGGTGTCATCTCTGGCGCAAGCCATTTGATAGCATGCCTTCTCTCAATCAACAGCAATCGCAAGATGATATCTAGGACGATGAAAGCGAATGCAAGGCCGAAAACAGCGTAATATCCACCATTCTCATAGACAACTCCACCAAGAAGAGGTCCCGCTAGTGTGCCAACACTAATAGCCATGGAGACATAGCCAATAGCTTGGCCGAGGTCGTCTTTTCCGACAGTGTCTACCATCAGTGCCAAGCCGGCCGTCCATACCACCGCAGCGGCAGCGCCTTGAAACAAGCGACCGACAATCCACAGCGCGATATTAGTGCCGACACATAGCAAGGCTGTTGCAGCGGCTAGCGCAATGAGGCCAACTAGCAAAGGCCACCGGCGGGACTCGAATCGATCAGCGATGTACCCGACAACAGGCGCAAAGGCCAACAAAGCAGCCGAATACAGGGCGAGAAGGATCGATGTCCAGCTCTGAATGTTTCCCTCTGAGATGCCCACTCTGTCTTTCAATGCGGTTGGCGTGACCGGTACGATAAGACCGTACATGAATATGTCCGTTCCAGTAGCAAAGGCGACAACGAACATGATAAACCATTTTGACGACCTCAACTCAACAAACTTGGGTCTCTCTGCTTCCTTCTCATCTGAGAAGGAAGTTTTCCATAAAGCCATGGCAAGTAAAGCAGTGATTGAGAGTAGGAATCACGATCCGCGTAAGCTGGTCAGATCGGCCTCACAACCGAAAATGGACTGGCCCCTTGCCCCGATATTCAATGAAAAAAGAAGGTAAGAAGATATGTGCAATGTGCAATGTGCAGTCAGCGTGATTTAATACCATCAGTTCCATCTGATAAGAAGAGAAAATTGAACAAGCCTCTGGGTCTCAAAACGTCGGAGTCCGTCAATTGATCTCCGATCGGAACCCGCGGGGCCCGAGATTGTAAATCCCCCGAGATTTCACGTGTTGCCGTTTTAGATCTTCGATTCACTTGATAGAATTGGAGTGGTCGATTCTGATATATAATGCAGCATGTCAAGTGACACGATATTTGAAATACGCAGAAATAAGCCAGAGTTTCTAATTGGACGGTTGGGATTGCTACTTCACGATCTATACAGATGCAGCCTATGAACACAGAATGTCCCAAGCACTCAATCACAAACGAGCTTTAGGCGCCTGACTCTTGAGCAAATCTCTCAACTGTCTCCGCAGAATCTTCCCACTGGGCGACTTGGGAATTTGTGACAAGACATGGATACCCCCTCGCAGACGCTTATGGTTGGCAATGCGCTCATTCAGCCACGCGTGGATCCCATCAAGGACAGCCTTCTGATCCCTGTCCTTCGCCTGACGACTCAGAACTACAAAGCCAACCGGCAGTTCAGTAGCCCTGTCATCCACCCACATTCCAGTCACAGCTGCGTCCTCCACGTCAGGGTGGTCGACCAGCTTTCCCTCCAGCTCGCTAGGGATGACCTGCAGCCCCTTGTACTTGATCATCTCCTTGATACGATCCTGGATAGTGACGTACCCATCTCCGTCGATAGTCCCGATATCACCCGTGCGGAACCACCTTGTTCCATCCTCGTCCACGTGGAATGCCTCTTTCGTCGCTTCATCGTTGTTGTAATAGCCCATTACCACGTTCGGACCACGGCACCAGATCTCCGCAGGTACTGTGGATCCATCAGATGTGACGGTAGCGTCTTTCATGGACTCAGGATCCACAAAGCGGAGCTGCATGTTCGGCACAATACAGCCCACGCCCGTGGTCCGCTTATCCATGCGGTCATTTGGGACAGCTGTTGCCATTGGTGAGGTCTCTGTGAGACCCCATGATTGGGTACAGAATACCTCTGTCTTCGAAATTTCCGTGAATTTGGCTTCAAGAGCGGACGATAATTCAATGGTAAGTGGTGCAGCAGCAGACATGATCCTGCGCACGCTGGTTAAATCGTACTTGGAGACCCGTGGATCTTTAACCAACATCAAGGCAATGGGTGGCACCAATGACAACTCGTCTGGTCGGTACTTCTGGATGCAACTGAGGTATAAATCGAGGTCGAACCTGGGCAGGATGACCACTGTTGTACCCCACATCAAACACTGACACACGAACAGATTGAGGCCGTAGATATGGCTAAATGGCAGGAATGCAATGGCGGATTGTCTTGCTGGACGCTGAGAGGGAAGACCAGAGTCTAGCATGTGGTACCGCCATTGTTGGAGGTTTGATGTGATATTCTGGTGTGTTGTAATGACACCCTTGGCTGCACCTGATGTTCCGGATGAGAAGCAGATGAACGTGGGTTGGCGATCTGCCTCGGCTGGATCGATAGTGAGGAAATCACTAGGGGCAAATGTACTAGCAAGGTGATTGCATGTAGGTTGACCATTGACTGTTTGACCATCTATCAGGACGATTTTCTCGACAGATGTTCCCTTGGCTGCTTTTTGGGCAGTTTCCAGCAAAGACGAATGGACGATGATGAATCTAGCCCCGCTGGTCTTGAGCTGAGCGTTAAGCTCAAGTGCTGTCAAAGCTGCACTGGTTGGAGCAACGATGGCCCTGGAGCCGACAATTGCATGGCATACCACAGGGTAATCGATAGTGTTGGGGCTGAACAATGCCACGACATCGTTGGGTTTGACCCCTATACTTTGCCGGAGCCCGTTGGACAGGGAGCGTGTACGTTGGATCACATCTCCAAAGTTATATTGCTCTCCTGAGATAGCATTGATGTATATAGGGCGATCAAGGGGTGTATTGAAAGGATTTGAGAACAGATAAGAGACCAAATCAACTGATTCGATATCCAAATCTGGATATGGGGAACGATAAATTGTTGACATTTTGGTCTAAATCAATTACACTTGATATTCAAAAAAATGTCCACCAAAAATGGCGATGTTAAATAGAAGTATAATGTATCCCAATACACATAGTACTTTCGGGAGCAAAACTCGGCATTGATGGCTCCATACGCGTTCCTTACCTAAGTGTGAGCCCCCGCATTATGTCCCCGCGGTGTGTTCTGATTGGACAACATCTAAACTTGGGAGTGGTTTTTCTGGAGACTTTCCTGCGTCGGCCCTTCGGCTTCCTCGGTTCGATGATCTCATGTATGATTTCGAGCTCGTATACAAAGTAGACTTGCCTAGGTATGTACCTGAGAAGGTAATGACATACATCGCAGGATGCAGGCTATCTGTTTGCTTGGTTTGTTGTTTGCTCTGTTTGTCTTCCCCCTTTTCTATCACCACAACATTGGCAGTCTCCTCCAACATGTACAGAAGCAGAGATTATAGTGGACCAGCCCGAGACCAGTCTCTGACGCCTATTGAACATGATCCTCCCCGGGCGCTCTCTCATTACCCGCTCCATCATCCGCAATGTCAAATATCCCACCCTACAGGGCCAGCCCTGTGGTGTAGACCTCACACTGAAGCGCGTTCTCAAATGGACCTCGCCCGGAATAATCGACTTGGATAACCAACTTCGGCAACCGGCCTCGACTGAAGAAATACCGTTTCCATCAGCAAAGGAAAATGCAAACCGATATTTGGATCTTGCGCAGGGTTCTTACCTTGTGGAGTTCAACGAGACCGTCTCCGTACCTTTAGATGTTATGGGCGAGATTTTTGTTCGCAGCTCATTATTTCGGTCCGGGGTGACGATACATGCTGGTGTTATGGACAGTGGATATGAGGGGGCTGTCGGGGCATTAATGCAGGTCGTCAATCCCAACGGGTTGCGGCTGTATCCTGCTGCGCGTCTCGCGCAGTTTGTGTTCCACCAGATGAGTGAGAAGGTTGAGGGTTACAACGGAGTTTACCAAGGGATGACAGCTTTGCAATAATCAAAGTATCCCTGGAATTGCCCCGTTTATATCTTCTAGTCCAGCAACAAGATCTAGCCGCTTGTGTGGCCTTGTGACGTCTTTTTGGTAGTCATTTTCAAAGTCATTCTGGGTATCTTATATGTATTTTTTCTAGAGAGTCTCATCCTTTTGGTGTTGTAGCTAGAATATAGGTGGTGAAAACGGCTTAAAATATGCCAATCGAACTTTTCTATGTATAATCAGGGGTTCTAACCAATCAATTGTACGCGAACACCCCAGCGCCCTCACACTGGGTGTAACTAATAACGGTCCATGGGATGGCCGGGTATCTAGATATCAAGAGGCTTGAATATCCCGTTTTCAAAGGCCCTGTCACGAATAAAAAACCACCACTCTCTTGGCTCTTGTTTCCATCGGGCAGGCATCACGGTGTGAAGGCCGAGGCGGCTCAGATGACTTTGCTGCGGTAGTGGGCCAATTGCGGCAAAGCATATTTGATGAAACTTTGGCAAATCTGCTTCTTCGATAGTCGCCAGCATGTTCCCTTTAGGATTGAACCTGGGGGTGCGGTTGAGTCGAGCTGTGTATTGGATCCCATCTTGCCCATCGCTCTCGAAGGAGTGTGTCCACCCGGTACTCTCTGCCATCCCTTCCTTGGTGACTGCATCAAGCTCAATATAGAATACCCAGTCCCAGCGTCCATCTTCACGGGTGAAGTAGACGTTGAATGACATTTTAGGCTGTCATGGAGCTCTTTGAGTTGTTGGACGGACTTTTTCAGAGTGTGCGTCATGTCCCAGGGAAGAATGGGTGGGATTTTGTAGCCTGATATAGCTTACTACCATCAAATAATTGATGGTTTTTAGACAAGATGCTTTGATGGTGTAGTTGGAAGTGGCAAAACAATCAAAGAATTCATAAACGAGAAGGCATTGACTTGAGACATATATAGCCGGAGTCTCGGGAAACAACAATACTGCTAGAACATTAGAAGACAAATGAGAGGGGAACTGAACAAAATTACAACTATTTCTTGATAAGAAACACCTCCTATACAAGTCTCCTAGCTTCAATTGCATACCTCACAGAATCCAATAATTTCAATACTCGCATGCATTATACTACTGTCTTAGCACATTATTGCGTTGCCCATCTATATAATGTTTAGAAGAAAGGTTACACAATATAAATACCTATAGAAAATTAAATTGACTGCAATGCTATCTAGACACCAAACGTCTGATTTGTAGATCTAATCTCAAATATGGCGTGTATGGAACCAGAAACTATTTATTGTGTCAATATCATATTATCTCTCAGAAGGCCACAAAATCAAAGAAATCACTAACCCATTACAGAGGCTTAAAGATCCTCTTGCTGAAAGCCATCTCCTCGACATCCTTCAGCCACTCTGTGCAGCGGTAGAGCGGGGTATCAGGATACAGCCGCGTTCCCTTGAGCGTCACCTGGGCCCGCGGGGGAAGAACTGCTAGGCAGCATTCCTCCCGGAACCTCTCTAGGTCTTCTTCCTCAATGGTCCCGATCTGCTTCTTCGAGTCCGGCACATGTTCTGGCAGCTCCTCCGGGTTGGGTGTTTGCCTGGGTGTGTAATCCATGCCGTTCAGAATCGTTCCGGTGACATGGTGCAGCCAGCCCCTGTCTTCGCTTGGCTCGGTTTCGATGTATATGGCAATGTGGTTTCTCTGCGCACCGATCGACTCAGTAGTGAAGACTTTGAAAGTCATGGTTAGTGATGTACAAGATTGTATTGCTTGGAATAATATTTGGGTACGAAAGCTGGGCTTTTAAGGTCGAATGGGTTGGGGTTTGCCATGTCATGCAACGCGTAAAAATATATTTGAGTCTTAGCTGAGGTCAAAGGCAACCACACTCATGTGATTCTATCTACAAAGATCTTGCTAGACATGTTTCATAATACGTAAAAGAATAGATTCAAAGCAATTGAGGGAAAGCATAATCATTTTTCGGTAAAAAAATGAAACGGAAATAAGGACAAAACCATCCAAGCAAGTCATCTATTTTTTAGTACCATAGTTATAGAGGCTAGTACGTGTAGTGACATAGTGTGCCCAACCGTTCGCGGTACAATGTATAGTTTTGATGTAAAACGCTTATCAGTTTGATTTGATGGGGAATAGAACTTTTACCTTCTAAGACTACTCAGAAAAGCATATCCTTATATAGTAGCTGACAGAAGTCTCAAGATGAGAAAATGAACAACTAACATTGAAAGCCGGATAACAACATTTTGGTCATGAGTGACAAGTAATACACCAAGCAAAGGATGCCGAGACATATGCAAGTCATGCAGTTCATTTAGATGAGTATTCGATTCAGAACATAGGCTTCCAGGAACAAGCTCATGTGTTCTATCCTGTAGATCATCTTAATTTATTACAAACACAAGGTTGATTTTGGCGATTCTAGGGTCTCATCTTAACAAAAGCAGGACAGGGTTCAGGTTTTAAATTTGATGTTGTACTCATTACCGTGAGAACTACGTGAGCGTTTGGATAGGTAGTTGTAAAGACATCTCAGACATAAATGGCTTGATCAACTTGGAGAAAAATCACAATGATAGAATGTGGAAGCCTTTGGGCATACCAGTATCAAAGCCGTAATATCTTTAAGTTGGAATTCCATGTGGCTGAAGTTCCACAATTGCGGATCTGGTACCGTTCAATTATGGAATGATGCAGAATAAACATAAAATAGAGAGCATGCAAAGTTAGAACGCCTTCTTGGCTTCCTGCCAGGTATGCATAGGGTACTAAAAATCAAACCCCCTCCAGGGCTCTCGCGTGCCCTGATTTGAACGAATATATAACATGTCTGATTGGCTAAATCTGATCAGGATTGGAAGTTCATATTATAGCCACCCGTCTTCGGGTCCTGGACAAACTTGAAGTTGTCCGTTGACAGACCAAATGGGCTCAAGATCCCATTTCCGAGCTGTATGGTATCAGCATTTCTCTGTCATCTCAACATGGATATAATCAGGGAAGTACTTACATCCTTCAGCTTGCCCATCATATCGCCCATCTCCTTCTCCCGTGCCTGATTGATACGCTCAGGGAGCTCCCGCAATGCCCGCTGGACAACTCTTTTATCATCTGCCGGAAGATTTTCGATTGTAGCAAGAGCTTGATAGTCTTCTGCAGCACCTTGCAGACTACCCCAGCCACCGATTTGGGTCTTTGCTTTTGCGCGTCTCATGAGGACTTTGGCTCGAAGTCGCATCACCTTGCTCCTCTGCTCATCCTGTTCTTGCAACCGTTGTAATTCCTTCAACTCAGCTTCTTCATCGTCTCCAGATAGTTCAACTACTGCATCTGTGTGTTTCTTGTCGGATTCAGGGGTTTGTTTACCCTTCGACTCGTCGCCGTTGTCCTGTGGGGTCGGCGGGATAATCTTGCTCAGTCGTTCGATGGAGACGGTTGCGGAGTCTACCGCGGCCTTCCAATCTTCCAATTTCAAATGGCAAGCAGCGATATTACTGTGGATTATGGCGACATCGTAGTCAAGGTAGCTCGGACATGAAGCGAGAGCTCGATCGTAGCAAGAGATGGCTTGATCATAGCTTTTCGCGAGGAATAGCTGATTTGCCTCGGATTTGATTTCGTGAGCTTCCTTCAGTAGTTGCTATTACAGGGAAGATTGAAGTCAATATTCGACTTCGGTCATAAGCTTGAACACTGTTACGACTCACGGCTTCTTCCTCGGCGGGGAAGTGGGCATCGTGGAAGACATCCTCGTCACCACTGTCATCGGCATCATTGGGAGCACCTTTCCCATCGCGCTCGGGCGCATTAGAAGAATTGTTCATTTTGTGAGCAGGTCGTCATCGACCGAGAAACATCAGATGTTGCCAAGGGTTCAATCACGGGACTGATAAGGACGATAACGTTTTATTCCCCGCGTCTTATCATAACGTGGTCAACATTAGAACATCCCACTCTGACACCGGTAAACAGACTATACAGCCATGGCTTCCGCTAATGAGTGAGTAGAACATGGTGGTAGATTTTGGTCACACTTGAATATCAATTGACTCTGTTGACAGCCTTCCTCGCATCCGAGCATGTCTCTTCGACATGGATGGCTTGTTGATTGACTCAGAGGATTTGTACACCATAGTCACGAATGAAATCCTCCAGAAGTACGGAAGACCTATCCTTCCCTGGTCAGTCAAGGCCCAGCTACAGGGTCGTCCCCAGCCGGAGGTTCGTCTCAGCCTCCATATCGTTATGTATCTGCGTACTTAACGCTATATTTAGGCCGCCAAGATCTTCAACGACTTTGCTAAGCTCCCCATCAGCGAGGAGGAGCTGAAGGAGGAACAATCAACTCGCCAGCGACACTACTTCCCAGGGTCAAAGCCACTCCCCGGTGTGCCGACTCTTTTATCCAATCTTGTGTCGACGCAGTCAACCGACGAGCCTGTGTACATTGCGCTAGCAACATCATCGCACAGAGGCAACTACAAATTAAAGACCGATCATCTGACAGAGCTTTTCTCGGCATTCCCCGAATCTAATAAGGTTCTTGGTGATGACCCGCGCATCGGCAAGGGCCGAGGCAAGCCTCTTCCTGATATCTACTTGCTTGCTCTGGAGACCATCAACATTGAGCTGCGTAGCAAGGGGAAAGCGGAGATCAAGCCGGAGGAATGCCTCGTGTTTGAGGATGCGGTTCCAGGTGTTGAGGCTGGTCGTCGTGCCGGCATGCAGGTTGCCTGGTGCCCTCACCCGGGTCTCCTAGGAGCCTTCAAGGGGCGAGAGGAAGAGGTTCTCGCTGGTGCCACGGGCTCGCATAAGGAGGAGGAGAAGTCGGATGCCCAGAAAGAGGCAGAGGAGCTCCAGGCCTGGCGTTTGCAGGGCTCTGGGACGCCTGGAAAGATCGGTGATGGGTTTGGCCAGCTTTATTCTACCCTGGAAGACTTCCCGTATGCAAAGTATGGCATTCGGATTCCCTGAAGACTTGCTCTGGCTTTCTGAGGCAGTACATATGTAGTATTGGGTTTGGTTTTTAGATGTCAATACCCGTTTATATGAGAGCGGGTAGATCGTCTAGATAGAAAATAATTTCCATTGACATATCTACAACACTTCTCTGTACAAGATCGCAGATTGGAGGTAATAACATATGCTCGCCAGTACAACAAGTCTGTATCATTGATTCAATCCTTCGAAATGAGACCTACGGTCCTCCAAGACACTTCGGGTCTGACTGCCCATAGGAAAGCGAACTAATTCCATGATAGTCTCACCAGAGACTCTGACTTTGACAAGGCCTTCTTTTGGTGTGGCGAGGAGAATATTGGAGACAACCGCAGTAGCACTTGTAGTAATATTTCTTTGTGGTAATCCTTGTGGCATTCCAGTGTGTCACTAGGTCATCCGTGGAATGATTTGTCCAATTGGCACTTGATCTCATTCCTGTACCAAGTACACGGGACAATAGGATCTATTCTCCCTTTGTGCCTTAAGCTGCGGGTTCTAAGCTATGGTTTGTCTCAGTTTCTGATAACAGAAATGGCATTGACCAGACCTTGAGGCTGTTATCGGCCTGCTTGTCCTTCATCTGAATTTCTTCGTCAGAGGAATCATCTGAAACAAAATGTCGCTGTCCAGAGCAGGTTGCAACAACACTTCCCATGGGGTGAAACATTGTACTTGTCACGGCATCTGTCATATATCAGCACTGAGCATCTTGGGGACTCACAAAGGACATACCATCATGCACCTTAAACTCCCAATCGGGGTCCTTCCCACCTGTACAGTGCTCTGGACTCCTCCAAACCCTCATAAACCCATCGGTACCGCCAGCCCAAATCTCATGAGAGCCATCAGGACCAGATGAAACAACATCAATTTTCATGCGCTGATTCGTATAGGCCTTGCGCCCACGCAAGTGGCCAAGCAGTTGCCCTGTGACCCGAACATCATAAACCAGAATGCCATTACTCTTACGCTCGACGACATACAGATATCTGCCACAGGGACTCCAGACAAGCTGCGTAACTCCGCGACCCCCGATATCACGGTTTGCGTTGGTTTTCGCCACGCTGAAAGTCCCAAGGAGCTCACCGGAGCCATTTGAGCTGTACAGTCCAACGTGTCTAGTGAAAGTGCCTGCAGCAAGGATACCGTCCCCACTCGGATTCAGAGCCAGGGCTGAAACAATGCCCTTCATGCCGATACCGCCACCGACAATCTGCTTGCGTTTGCTGGGGATAGTCGGCATTGAGGACACAGGGCCTTGTGCGCCTGTTCGGGACACGTCGAAGAGACAGATAAGGCTATCGGAGCCTGTAAGGAAGTGGGTCCCACCCATAGTAGATGGGTAGATCATTGAGTGCGGTGTTATGAATGCTTCTGTCATTGGATTTACCAGGGAGTAGCTCGCCACTGATGTGGGAGCCAGGGCTGATGATAGCCGGATTGGATGATCACGAACAGATGAGAGGAATAGGGTAGTGGATGGATCTTGAAGATTGTAGAAGGGATATATTGCGGTAGCATAAGTCGGCTCCGCTGAGGGTAAAGTTGAATATGGAGATATCTGGTGGATGGGCCTGTCCTCCAACAAATCCGGTGGCCTGACTGCGTGAGTGAAAGAATCAATACCAGGGATGACACGCCAACTTACAGGATCCATGTCCTGATAGAATGATCGGCTGAATCTGTCAGCAGAGTCGTTCCGTCTGGTGTCCTTTACATTGTAAGGTCAGTAAAAATTGACCATGGGTCGCTGTACTTGAGTCATACCATTCTGCACTCTTGAAATAGCTGAGATCGGTATCTTGATCAATGGATTCTTCACTAGAGGTTGCCTCGGGCTGGCTTTGAACCGTTGATAAAGTAGCTGAAGAGAGTCGCGACGAATTGATTGGTGATGGCTCTTTCCTTTGTCTTCTTGTTGATGCCACGCATACTGGTGTCCACTCTTTGGCATTCTCGTCAGCCATAACGACAGATACCGTCGAATAGGCTAGACAGCCACCTTTGCTGGGGGTTTCAGATGCAGCTCACTTGGTAAATGGCTCATTTGACTCCAAAGTTCTGAACAAAACGAGAATCAAAAGGAGAATGAATAGATCAAGTCGGACATTGATTGGGTCAAAAAGTCCGCGAGCTACACAAAAATATATCGACGGTCACGGGGATGGCATCTCAATATGGTTCACAATGCCACAATGGGATACCAATTATACTATGTAGTTTCCAAGTATCGAACCAAGCTATACAAACGAAGTATAAAAGTGAGTCGACGGCCTTGCTAAGCTAAGGAAAAGGTCGGGCCGGATAAATAAAGCACCGAGAAGCTTCGCGCATTCCGCAAATCGCATTTGCGTAGCTTTGTTCCTATTGAGGGGGGCCCATTGACAGGTTCCATTTTCAAGCATTTGAAGCCTATTGTCACCTAATTATGTTTGCTCCCAAGGCAGCGGCGCCTGCCACAGGTGGACTTTCTCTCAACACCAACTCCACCAGTTCTTTGTTGTCAGTACTCTCATCCATCTTTCTTTGTCGTCTCTGATTACACCTATCAGACTTATTGTCTGGCCCCTTGCTCTGATTTCCATCATTTTCTCTCCCAATCCATCGTTATTCGCGGCTCGCAGGCTAGGGTCACGTTGGTCTCGTACAAGAAAAAAAAAAGCTAACCGCAACCCCCATCAACAGCGGCGGCAACACAGCCACACCCACAGCTACCCCCGGGGCAACTAATACCAGCAGTCTCTTTGGAAACGCTGCGAGCTCGACAGCACCTAAACCGGCAGGAGGATTGTTCGGCGCCCCGGCCGCAGGAACCACACCACAAGCACAACCAACCGGATCCAACATGTTTGGAGGTCAACAACAGAGCGGTGCGACCGGCAACAGCCTTTTCGGAGGCGCAAATACCTCCACACAGCCTTCTGGAACAAGCAACTTGTTCGGTGGATCAACTGCTGGCGCTGGCACCAGCACGACTCAAGGAACAACAGGTGGTGGCTTGTTGGGCGGCAGTCTTTTCGGCGGTGCGTCCACGGCTCAAACTCAAGCAAAGCCAGCATTTTCTGGACTCGGAGCTGCCGGTGCCGGCAGTGGACTCACTGGGGGATTAGCAGGAGGAACTACGGGGGGCATGTTGTAAGTGACCCTGCATTTGCTCGTCCCGTCTCATGGCTTATATCCTAATAATTTATAGTGGTGGCGGCCAGAGCACAGCCCAACAACAACAACCTCAAAAGCCTACCCTCTCTCTCTTCGGCCAGCCAGCGCCCGCACAGACCACACAACCACTACAACAGAGCACCGCGACTAGCACAGTGATCCCGGGTGTGAAAGTTGACGTCAGCAATCTCCTACCAACCACAAAATTCGAAAGTTGTGCAGATGAGATCCGTAGCCAAATCGAGGCTATCGACAAGCACATCCTGAACCAGATGAAGATGTGCCATGAAGTCGGGGATCTGCTCCCGACCATCGAGCAGCAGGGTGCCACAATTCCGAACGATGTTGAATTTGTCCAAGGCAAACTTGAAACGATGCAACACGCGCTTGAGAACGATGCCAGTGATATTGATGGGCTGCGCAGCCTTGTTACACGGGATGCGGCCGAAGCCCAAGTTGCCTTCCGAGCCATTGATACGCTGAAACTTCCTCTACAATACCAGTCAACTGGCGGTGGGTGGTGGTCTGTGCAGGATCAACAGATTCCGGAGCGATCTATGCGCTCGAGTCGCAAAAACACACTTGCTCTTCCCGACGGCGTTGAGGGTGACGCATCTACTGACGTCAATGGAGTCCCCGTCAACCTAGTCGATTACTTCTCTCATCGCTCGAAGGAGATGAAAGGAGTTCTTACAAGATATACCGGCAACCTCAAAGAGATTGAAGACCATCTTCACGGTGTCGAAGCTACGCTCAACCGACAAATCAGCGACTTTGTGAGCTCCAAGTCTCGCGAGGGAGCTGTAGGGACACCCCGGTCTACCATCAATGAACTTTCCGGTGTTCTCTCAGATGTCGAGGCTGGCATTATGGGTGTCGCCACTCGTTTGAGCAATGTATCGGAACAAGTACAAGATCTGTCGATTGGACAGCAGTCCCTTGGTGATGGCCGGCTTCATCTGGGATAGATAGGAGCAATTAGCGAGTTTAGTCTGTATTTTTATGGGAGCTGATCTTCAGCATGCGAAACATGACATCCAGCAGTTTATCTGTTAACTCCGAACTTTCATTAGTCTGAGCCCTAGTTGTAGGCTGAACATGTAGTTCATCGCAAGACTAGAACTAGAACACACGCTAGACCATCTGGACTTAGATCATTCCGAAAGTCAAATTATTTGAGCCAATCCAATGTATTCAAGCTCTATATTGTACGCATATATTCTATAATAAAACTAGTCATAGCTGCATATGTTGTATGTTATGTCCCAACTAAGCATCGGGCCAAGTGAGGCTGATGAGTAACCCGTCGCAACAACCCGCCACTCTTGCGTGATCGCCTCCTTAGCGCCATTCCTAATCTTAACCTCCACTTTCCTGCACGATGTACATCAACACTTCCATCCCCAGTGAACACGCGTTCAAAGTCCTTGACTTGAAGATAGCTCATCTGAAACAGCGGTGAGAGCCAGTATATCAACTCAGCAACCGTTTTCCATGTTCATTCGATGAAGATGGCAAAGTCTTGCCATCAACGTCAGCAGAATTGCGTGATCACCATGAATATTTTAGGAAGAGCGGGTCTCTCTCTCTCGATACAACATCCACTTAGAACCAATTATCTCCTGCCCAGTTACTCCATTATATTCGCCTGAGGTGATTAATCTGAGAAATTGCGCCATTTCCGTGAACTCCGGGGCATACAAGATCCGTGATCATTCCAGAATGGCTGAATGGCGTTATCTGGGGTTGACTCACTTGGTCCACATCAATTGCATGCTTGACTTGTGTCCTTAGCTATATAAGTCCGTTGTTCCCTCCCTATCCAAACTTAGTTATTTATACTTTTAATATCAATAATCTCCGTCATCATCCTTTCACATTTGGGTGTGCATTTATCAATACATACATCGTCACTTGAATCAGATATGGCGCCATCATTGGAAGAGCCCGTGGTCACCGTGGCCCCAACTGTGGCCAAGTTTACCGTTCCCGTCCGCGCGGAGGACCTCGCTAGCGACAACAAATTTGGCTATCAGCCCGGCAGGACCCCAGTCACTCAGCACGACAACTATGCACATGAAGATTTCTTGCCCTCATTTCCGGATATCCATTGGGCCCCCCTTGAATACACACCCTACGAGGACAAGGGACTACGAGGAGACCCCAAATTCCGCAACCTTTTGAGAGATGCCACAGCCGTCTTTGATCACAACCCTAAGATTGGAACTGAAGTGCATGGCGTTGATCTCTCCAAGCTTGATGATGCACAGCGGGATGACCTCGCCCGGTTGATTGCATACCGAGGCGTCGTCTTTTTCCGCTCCCAGAAGAACTTCGATATCGAGGCTCAACGCCAATTAGGCCAATATTGGGGCAAGCTGCACAAGGTAAGAGATCTGACTTGGGTCATTTGAGTATATATACTGACAAGATATAGCACGCCACTACATCCGTTCCCCGAAAGTCAGGTCTTGAGGACGTCCATGTCGTCTACACTGGCGACAACTCCAGCGATAACCGTGCCCTCTTCACACCTAGTTTCTTATGGCACTCAGATGTGACCTATGAAATTCAACCACCATCCTATACATCACTCAAGCTCCTCTCCGGCCCACCCCGGGGAGGTGGTGGCGACACCCTTTGGTCTTCGCAATACGCCGCCTACGACGTGCTCTCCTCGCACATGCAAAACTATCTTAAAGGCCTCACAGCCATCCACTCAGCCGATATGCAAGCCAACGACTCCCGGGCACTAGGTCGGCCAGTGCGCCGGGAACCCGTCACTACTGAACACCCACTCATTCGGACGAACCCAGTCACCGGCTGGAACGGACTTTTCTTCAACCCCGGCTTCGTGAAGAAGATCGTCGGTATCCCGGCCGCAGAAAGCGATGCTATTATCCGTTTCCTTACCGATGTTATCGCCACGACTCAGGAGATGCATGCCCGTTTCTCATGGGGCGAGGATGATGTCGCACTCTGGGATAACAGGTCCACCAACCACAGTGCTTCCTATGGCTTTACACCGCACCGTCGCCATGCTGTGCGGGTTGCGGTCCACGCCGAGAAGCCTGTGCTTGAAGAGTCTGGGAAGTCTCAAGAGGATGAAATCAATGCTTTGTATGGACTGCCGGCAGTCAACAAGGATGGTTCTCGCCAGTCGAACTATAACGACTAGGTTGGCTGCGAAAAGTTCATGGTAATTGGAGTTCATTCTTTCTCTCATAGCAATTAGCGACATATCACAATCAGCGAAATATTATCATTTTTTTATTCTTCTCATTACATGTGCCTGTTTGGACAAGTATTCTCTATCTGCCTTCAAGCTGGCCAGATGTGTTTGCTCTTTATGTCTCGTGCCTGCCTAATTGGGACTGTGTTTATCGTCCCTCGTCCCTTCCCAATTTACAACCCAACTCCCCCGTCTCTTCTGTTCTTCTCTCGTAAACAACTTCTCCTGTGGCTTCACTCTCTGCTCTCTCCATATTCTTGATTTGCCACAAAATGGCTTCCAGCCAGCCAACTCTTCTCGAGTACGCTAGATTCTACAATGTCGCAGAGGACTCCGCTCGGTATTGTCCAATTAATTATGCAGATGACACATGTGAGCCGGTAACTCCCATCCCTCCTGTTCATGGTCTCCACCCCGAAAATCCAGAAGAACGCCTCAAAGAAATCGATCGACGTTTCTGCACCGAGCTCATGATGGAGAAGCTCCCAACTAAGCCTGAGGATATGGAGCTGCTGAGCGGCTGTCTCCAGCTCGAGTCCGTTAAGGGAAACCTCTGGCGTGGCATCCTGCCTGAAGTGAAAACATCTGACTCTAAAGGCGAGCCTCCTCTCCTCACAACTGAGGATGAGAGAATTGTGGCTTCGTCCAGGTTTCACACTACCTTCGCTCAGAGTCCGGCTCCATCTTCGCCTACGCCCTCGGTTCATCTGGTTGTTCCGAGTGGTCCTGATGTTCCCGTTGTTCCTATGAACACGCGGGATGTCTTTGATCATTACAATTCGGGAATGCCCCAGCCAACCAATATTGACAGTTTTAATGCGCCTGTAACTGTGGCTGCCCAGTATTCTAATATCTCTACGACATTCCATCTTGCAGGAGACGCTTTGCCCCCTATTGTGGGACTAGAAGGAACCCTTCATCAATTTGCCAGTATTGAGTCTGACCCTGTTCCCTCTATTCAAGATGGAGAAAATGAGGGTTATGCTCCAAGTGTGCTGAGCTCTGAGGTGAGTACTCGATTGAGAATTATTGATACAAGCAGTAGCTAACCAAGACAAGCATCCCACCGAAAGTGAATTCAGTGCATTTGTTTTTGATAACACTGCCCCCGCACCTTCATTCGATGTCAGTCCATACGAAAAGCCGCAACCCCCATTCACTATTGTTTCTCCCAATCTGACAAAAGAAAAAGGATTCTCCGCTGGCAGGGTTGACAGCCAGAAAGCGCAAGCACCCAGAGCTTTGAAGGGAAAGAAAGGAGCGAAGGCTTTCATGGAGCCTGTGGCGGATACAGGAATACCTTGTGTACAGAAGGGAATTGTGGCTACCTCTCTGAGTACGCTTCATGAGGAAACACTTATTGTGTCAAAGGGCTGTTCGATTTCCTCAATCATTCAGACAGCAAACGATCAGAGCCTAGCCCAGCTAGTACGAGACTCACAAAATGCAAACGATGACCATGCTTCCTTCAAAACTCCTTGCAACAAACCCCCCAATCTTCTGGCAGCACCCACTTCCTCATCCGTCGACAAGAGAATGGCCTGTGTCGCTCAGGCGGAGCTCTTTCGCATGAAACTGGGCTACAAATCACATCACACCGGATTGAGGAAATACCCTTTCAAGCCTTCACATGCTGTTTCTTCCGTAGACTGTACAAAGACCCCGAAATCATCCGCAACGGTGTTTGGTGGCCTCGGATCTCTCTCCATGTTTATGCAAACCAGAGGAAGTGAAGGAGGATATGTTACCTCGCCGCATGATCCATCATCATTTTCCGTATCAACATCCGCAAGAGAAGGCGAGCTCTTAAATGTTCCTTCACTCGCAGGTGACAGTCCTCCGGGCTCTGATGAGAAACCCTCGGGTCCCTCTCGCTCGCCGAGCCCTGCCTTCGAACTGCAGGAAATGGTGACCAAATCGGCATTCTCCCCGCCACCGATGTTCTTCTTGTCTACCACTCTCCCAACAACTCACCCGTCAGTCGTACAAGATATGGAAGATTGGGAAATTAATCCACCCAAATTGATCTACAGGGACTATGGGGATGCGTACTCGGATTCCCAATACCACTACGAGGCAGAAATCATCCTGGCACCTGATACTGGGCTTATTTTGACAACTCCTCATGAGCTAACACAGCGATATCTCCCAGGGCATGGCCCAAGGGATATAGGGCTCAGAGGAATACACGGGCTTAACTCCCCACTTAGAGAAAAGATGTTGTGCCTCATGCGTCGATATGCCATGCTGGTTGTTCTCATCTGCAAACCCTACACAGCAGACGTCAGCAGAGTTCCAAATTCCTCCTTGAGAACGGAAATCACCTCGCTTTCTCAATTTTGTGACACCGAGGGATTGTCCGAAACATTACTGATACCAATCGAAAACCACCCAGCAACCATTGTATTGTGGTGTTTCGGTATGGGAAGGCTTCGATACGAATTGATCCCCCCTGAAATGATAAAGAATATCACAGAAGGGGAGTCGGAATATGAAGTCGCACTCCGCCACTTGGGAATTAATTCTTTTGCGGCGCGCCTTATCTTGGATAACATTCGCGTTGGTGGTTTCGATCTAACTCCTCTCTCCTTGCTCTCTCATGAGACCGTTCCCAACCCCACCACGGATTCAAGGGCTTTCGATGTGTTTGTGAATATGGAGTCCTTCGCGCGGAATATGAAGTACAAGTCTGTTATTGGCGAGGAGGTGATTTCCAGGGTATCGGAAGTGATCGAATTAGCAACGCACTTGATCCTCGATGAGAGTGAGACTGACAGTGAGGATATTTATGGCACTCAGATCAGCCTTGATTAGTTGTCCAGGATCTGGGCTTTCATCATTAACAAGATGGGTATGAAGATGCAGACATCAACTGTTGCCGAGAATCAGTATTGATAAATCACAACTCAGTCTTGTCAAAAACGTATCTCTACTGCACATTTGACAATGGACTTTCAAGATATCTAGAAAGACGCATACCAATGGCACCCAATAGAAAATTTAGAAAATATGCCCAAAAGAATGGAGAGGAGATGATCAAGTCTGCAATTACCGACTACCCACCCCAGCATAAGCACTGGGAGAAGGTAAGCCGCAGTTTAATTTAAAAGTACAGTGGACAAAGACATGCAAGACCCAAGGCCAATCCAGCGCTTCAAAAACTCATGCATGCAAAATAGAAAGACAGGCCAAAATAGGAAGCCACAACTGACACGATACCTAAACAATCAAATGTCAAATATCATCCAATGAGGACATCCCTATTCGCTATTATTTTTTATGTTTTTTTTTCCTTGGTCGGTGTTCTTGAGATCGTTGAGAAAGGTCGAGCTCGTGACGTCGCGTATGATACACGTCAGGGGTCTTCCAATATCCCCGTCGCGATTTTACAGCGAAACAGGGAGTTGGTGTCGACATGACAGGGGGAGGTTAGATGGCGGCGAAACAAAATCATATAAGAATATTGTCTTGGAGACTAATTTACTCCTTGATCTTGGCGAGGATACTAGTGGGGTTGTCAGTGTATTGCTCTCGGAACAAGAAAGGGAGAGGGGGGCGGAAACATACTCGTGATCCCGGAAGAGAGTGTACTCCTCCTCACCGACCTTGATGGCGTTACCACCGAACTTAACAGGCATACGTTAGCATATATTGTTCCGTGTATTCGCATCCAAACGGGAAAATGCGAGGGAATTGTTCGAACCACATACCTGGGGGATGAGGACCTTGTCACCGGCATTGACACCCATGGGGATGCGCTTGCCGTCGCGGTCAAGGAGACCGGGGCCAACAGCGAGGACCTGGGCCTCGTTCTGCTCCTTGACGGCAGCCTCGGGGAGGAAGATACCGGAGGCAGTCTTGGCCTCGGGCTTGATGCGCTGGACCAGGACGCGGTCCAGGAGGGGAGCGAGAGACTTGATGTTGCGGAGGACAGACTAGAGAGTGCTTGGGTTAGTAATTGTATATCTCAATGAGACGACCGAATTGAATTGAGAACTGCGCGCGTTGCGCGGGTTTTCGGGTATCCGGGCTCGGCCTGGAGGAAGAAAAAGTTGGGCGTGGAGGTGCTAGTAGCATCTCGGGGAGTTGGGGAAATAGGAGAATTCGGGTTGTGGAATCAATCGGGATACACCACATACCATTGTGAAGGAGAAGGAGATTCCTGAGAAGATCGTGAGTTGAGGATGGGGATGGAGAAGGGAAGAAGATGGAACTGGTCCGGGGGAAGAAGATCTGCCCAGGACTGGAGAAATTTCCAGAATGCCAAGACCGAACCATGAGCTTCTTCCGAGTAGCCCTGTTTCCCCATATTGGACTAATAGTCTCTCTAGGGAATAAATTACTTGCGCGATGTTATAATCTTTTATCTGTTGATCTTTAGGTTTTCCCTGTTGTATTTTTACTGACATGAATAGTATACCCGTCTGTCTAGGTAAGTTGTATATGATTGTACACTTCCCCGACCTATAGCTTTACTTCTGCACGGAAGAAGCTTGAACTTGTAAATTGTCCAATGTCATTGCCATTCCCTTTGTATGCATGAAACGCCATAAGATCCCATTATTCCGACGGCGAACCCGAAGTTACATCACAGTAATACGAATTCCATATCAAACTACCATCTTCGGCCGCGTCCTCGGCCCCCGTAACCTCCACGTTGGTCGTATCCACCGTAGCCCATTTGACCCTGGCCCCCTTGGTTGAATCCTTGACCCTGAGGCTGACCCCCGAAGCCAGGTTGACCCTGCTGCCCACCACCGGGCATCATCGACTGAGCATGTTGCATAAAAGCCATAGGATCCATATTAGATGGGTCCAAGCCCTGGGACATCATGCTAGCCAGCATGCCCTGCATCATATCTGGGTTCATATCCGGCATACCGGGCATGCCAGCCATGGGCGGCGCAGCACTAGCTGGAGCAGCGGGGCCCGGTGCAGTAGGCATTGGGGGCATTCCCATGCCCATGAAGGCCTGCATATCGTCCATCTGTCTCTTCTGACTGCCAACTTCTTGTCTCACGCCTTGTTGCTTGAGACAGTATCCTGCCCATGTGAACTCATCAAATCCGTAGTTAAAGTAATCGGAGAGATCTGACCCAGGTCGGCGCCAGGGCTTGTCGTCGGATGGGAAGTCGGCATCCATGTCTGTGGACATGATCGGCTTTCCTGTCATAGGGTGAATGGGGTTTGCATTAACGTCAATGGTGGAGCTATGAATGGCAGGATAGGCGGAGCCTGGCTTTTCTGAGGAGGGTCTTGCGGCGGCAGCTGCGGCTGGGTGTCCGGGAATTGGAGTTGCTGTTTCGTATCGAGGAGTTGCGGATGGCGTTGCAGACCCTGCTAACCCCGATGAGTCTGCGGAGGACGGGCGTTGTGGTTCTTGTCGTAAGCTTGCATGGCGCGGGTGAGAGCTAGAAAGATCAGCAAGAGTGAAGGAGCGCGATGGCAGCTAACTTACGCTTCGGGAGCTGGTGCGCCTTCGGGAGCCTCTGTGATAATATTGAAGTCATCCTATATATAAAATTAGCAGGAGGAAATTGCAGGTAGGTGCAAGCTAGTGCGTACATCATCTTCTTCTTCCTCTTCTACCTCATCGTCGTCTTCCATGTAATTGCTCTCCTGCGGTTGGCCTGGAGCTGCATTTTGTGTGTGGTTCAGCGATTGTGTTGTCGGCACCGCGTCGACGGGATCATAGAAGTCGTCTTCTTCTTCGTCCATGGTTTCTGAATTTCAATTCAACGGGTAAATGCTGCAGAAAGTTGTATCAAAGAGGATCGAGATCGAAGGTTGCGCGCATGGGAACCGAGTTTGTCTTGTTTGCAGCGGTGCGAGTTGAAACATGCAAAAGAGAGTATACAGCGTGGCACGTTTGTATATTTAGATTCTAATGTAATACCGATTATCGACTAGCTTATATATGGCAAACATGATATTATTCTATTTTGAAAGCGTGAGAGCTTTTTACAATGTGATCTCGTAAAATACACTTAGAACGCTGGAAATTCAAGGTCACGTGCTGGCCACCAGACGTCACTGACCAACTTGGTTCTTTTCATCTGGTAGTCAAATCGAAGCTCAAGATATCGCAATTCAGAATGGCAGAAGAAGGGGAGAGTAACACATCCACTCCACGGTCCTTTGCCGGCCAAAGCGTCTCCGCAGAGGAGATGCTCAAAGAGCAAACCGTCGGTCTTGTTCATCTCTCCGACTTTCGCAAGCGGCGCGCAGATGTTCTAGAGGCAAAAGAGCGCGAAGCGCATGACAAGTCGCTGGGGCTACTAGCATCTGGTAATTCAAGAAGCGCAACTCCCTCTGCAGGCGATGTGACTGACGGGTAAGCCAAGAACCTCGATTTTATTTCCGTTCATCTGAGCTGATCGCAGCGCAATAGTTCAACGCCTCCCCGGAGTGACGGTCCCCCGAAAAAGAAGAAAAAGAAGGCTTTTGCGAAAAGCAAACTATCATTTGGCGACGACCAGGATGAGGGAGAGGAATCTGCGGCAACCCCACGCGACTCAAGCGTATCACGGTCAGGTTCGAAAACACCCGCCGAGGATAACGCTACACCACGCATGAAAGCAAACCCGAACGCACCCCCTCCACCCAAAGCTTTGACAAAGGCATCTTTGGAAGCTGAAGCGCTAGCTCGCGACACTCTCCGCAAGGAGTTCTTGATCATGCAGGAGGCTGTGAAGAATACCGACATTCTCATTCCATTTGTTTTCTATGATGGAACAAGTATACCAGCTGGGGCTGTCAAAGTCAAGAAGGGTGACCATGTTTGGTTGTTTTTAGATCGGTGCCGGAAGGTTGGTGCTGAGATGGGTGTACGTGGTGCCAACGGTCCATCCAAAGCGAAGAAAGATAATCGCCGAGAGTGGGCACGAGTCAGTGTCGACGACTTGATGCTTGTCAAGGGCGATATTATTGTTCCACATGTAAGTTCACCTAGATTTTCACTGGTCAATGTATCTCCTCTAATATTCGCACAGCATTACGAGTTTTACTACTTCATCGCCAACCGAGTGCCCAGTCTTTCTCGAGCTGGCGGTTTGCTGTTTGATTATTCCAGCAAACCCCCCGTTGCCGATTCCACCAACCCCGCCCCTAGTGATGATCAACTAGAGGGTGCAGACAAGGATTTCTCAGAAACAAAGGTCGTAGATCGACGGTGGTATGAGAAAAACAAGCACATATACCCGGCCAGTCTGTGGCATGAGTATGAGCCCGGGAAAGAGTTTGAAGAGAAGATGACTTCAACACGGCGCGATGCTCAAGGAAATACATTCTTTTTCTAGCTCGTGGAAATGTTTTATGAAAATAATCACTATAATAGACAAATACCAAATATTCTCTGTCCAAGTTGTTGTTTCATTACATGATATCCTTTCGAGGTTCACTAAACTAATAACGTCCTCCAAGGCTACCTCGTGACCTTCACTTCTTGCTCTCTCTGCATCCCATCAGCGACACCATGGATTTTTCTTTAAGATGCAATTCCCTCAAATGTCGAGCAGAATTGAAAGAGAAAGCAGTGGTGACTACTTGCTCGTAAGTAGTTTCCTCCTGGATCAGCTTGAGTGAAAGGCTGATGATTTCAGGCACATCTTCTGTCATGGCTGCGCAGATAGTCTTGGGCTCTCTCGTCCAACCACCAGCAATCGGCTCTGTCCTGCGTGTCAAACAGCACTTCTCAATCCAGATGACGCTGTTTCGACAATCTTGAATCCGACGGAGGACTACAAAACAAGCGTGCTGAGTGGATTAGACCCCAATACAATCATGGAATGTGCTGGTCGCGCACTTGCGTTTTGGGCATATCAAAGCACACAGGAGATGTCTGTCTCGCTTCCTTGGTATTGACTGGCATCGTGGAATTGTCCAAAGCTGACTTGAACAGATTCTACCAAGAATACCGAGCGAAGACGCTTACCGAGAAGTATGCCAATCTAAACACCCAAATGGACAAGGTCATCCACAATGCCAATACAGAGATCCTGTCGCTGCAGAACAAGCTGTCTGGTTAGTTAAACTGAGTCTCCTCTTCTTACTTGGAGATCCGACTAACGTCTGTACTGCAGACATGCAATCATCTCAAGAAGACCTCCAAAAGAAAAACCAAGAACTGAATGATATGTACCGTGACAAGAACAACAAACTTGCTCAAATGACCAATCTCTACAACCTCCTCAAAGCTCGTGCTGTGCGGTCCCGAATTCAGACCGCAGCCTCGGACACAGTCTCCCAGGCTCTCTCAACGCTCAATGCTCCTCCTCCTCCTGTCTCTATTTCTCGGTCCGATGTCCCAGCGCTGCCTCCAGCCCCAGTTACACGAAACCCCAAGACTCCCACTTTTCCCGTAAATCCAGATGGAGTCGAGCAGCTTCACCGGTACCAACGAAGCGGCACGGGCAGCTCCAAAAGGGCAAGGACAAGGACACCTCGCGAAGCCCCAATGCCACCCCCTGCTCGGCCAAACTGGGATGGGCGAAATAGTACATATAGCATCACAGTCTCTAAGGCATACCGGCTAATGTGCTCCTCGCTAGGCAAAGCTCCAGATCCTGCTCCCCAACATCGCACTCGACTTCCACGCATTTCTCGGACACCGACTGTCTCCTCCGAGTTTCCCCCTGGTGATGCTATCACGCGGCGGTTTGGGCGTTGATCGTTTAGCTGTTGGTTGGGGTATTTGTATGAATATAGAATAGTTATTCCTACCGATCTTGCGACTAGGATGTCAGTATTGTACGTTGAAGCTCTTCGGGCTTGATATGATTCGATTCACGGTCACTAAGTACAAGCCCTTACTTTTTCCTACATAGTACTTGCATGACACTTAACAAATTCCGGTTCTACAATGTTATCGTACATATAAATAACCTCTATTGGTATATCCTCATGTCGAGAGAAATGGATAGGAAGTACCTAAGCAGGTTTCACTCCTCGTGGGAAAGATAAACAGTCTGATATCTCCAAGACTACAGGCCACTAAGGACGTGACAAACGAAGACCCCCAAACAACCCCCTAGGAGGCAAACACATCTATGCATACTCAACACAGGACCCAGCTCTGTAATCCAACTCTCTTTCCTTTTCATTCCCCCCATCACCATCATCATACCACACAACGCCATGTCTGCGAGTCATCGTACGTTGTCTTCTTCTGTAGCTTGAGAGTGTGTCTAACTTGGTTTCTGCTCTAGCATATCGCAGCATCCCACTGCCTCGTGATGCATCATTCGAACTGAAACCCTCGCCGGGCAAAGGATGGGGTGCCTTCGCTACCAAACGCATTGACCGAGGATCGATGATTTTGAGCGAAGACCCTCTCTTCGTTATTCGGAAGGCGACTCCTGAAATCACCGAAGTTGACATTTCTGCAGCTCATTTGAAGCTTTCAACCAGCCAGAAAGCACAGTTCTCACTCCTTCGAGACAATGGGTCGAAGTTTTTTACAAGTTTGAGGAACGCCATGGCTCAAAACTCGTTTGACATCTCAGATGGGTCTCCAGCTAACGGCCTATTCCTCGTGCACTCTCGGTTCAACCATTCCTGTCTACCCAACTCGCAAGTGCCAGCCTTTCATGGAGAAACCATTAGACTTTACGCCACCAAGGACATCCAGGCTGGCGAGGAGATTAGTATCTCTTACCTTGATTCTAAAGGACATACTAGAAACGAGCGTCAGAAACTCATGGACTTCGCCTGCGACTGCAAAGCGTGTCTACCTGGTACTCCATTTCAACAACTTAGCGACCTACGACGACGATTGATTCGAGGGCTACATTGCCTCAGGCGTGGCAAGGATCTCTGGAATGGACGGGTACAAAGCCCAGACTCTCCGATCATTGTTGACGCCAAATTGAAAACTGCCGCCGAAAACTTCAAAATACCTCTTTCGTCGAGATTGGTCTGTTGCCTTCTCACAATTGTCTTGCTGGAAGAAGAGGGAGTGCTGGATGACTTCGAGGTGGAGATGATGGGAATAAATGTCACCATGACGGCGAACATGTTCAGATCAGAGTACAACCAGAGAGTTGTTATGCTCGCTATGGCTCAGAATACCTGGTTGGAGAGATTGCAGGGGGTGTTTGGACTGTATGGGCGAGGAGATCTGGCCGATGATGACAGCACCCAAATGCTACAACTGCTTAGCAGAACTCTTTCGGGATAAGTTTCTTGTTTCTGCTTTGATTACAACTTTCACATTTGAGGTTGATATTCTTTTTTTCATGGTTGTGTCTTGAAGTTCTACAAATAGCAAATGCGGCTCTACAACTGCCAACAGAGCTGCTGCATGAGTATGCCCAATTAACACAATTTGCTTTTCGTTTAACCTTGTCCATTTCCTTCTGCCATATTTGAGGCTTGTGGGTAGTATTGCCATACGTAATATAATAGACTTCACAGCGTGTGGGTTTATTATACACGGGAACAGCAACCGTGAGTACTACAAAGATTGCAACATAGAATACATGAGAGGTAACCCAGATCTGAAGAATTGCCTTCCATACTTCCTCGCTCATGTCTGGTAGAATTCAGCGTGGTCTTGACCTACGAGAGAGGTGAGTGATTCATGTGCGCGAATCGCTTCAACATGGCGCGCAGTTGAAGCTCAAGCTTGAGTTCATGGGGCATTATAATGAGCCGAATCTAGAGCTTTTTCATGATTATAATGACAATGAAGATGGCCTCTGCAATCTTGAGCATAAGCCGCAGAATGACGTGTGGGTTATTAAGAGACAGAAAAGTCTGATCTCTTAATCGGCATACTATGGGTTGTATATTGTATTCTATTAGGTGATGCAAATCAATTTGATACCCCTTTCAAATCTCTCCCTCGAATACAAACTTCAACACAAGACCACCGCCAATGACTATATTTTTCAACAAAGAAAGGTTGATGAGCCCAGTAACGCTGAAAGGAACCAAGACCATCTGTTCTTCCGGCTTTAGCATCGCCGACCTAAAATACCAAGGAGATGTAACACCCAGCCATGCAACAACCCAGCAATAGCCAAGGGCCTTGTGCCACCACGCCGGCAAGCTGATATTGTTCTGAGAGCCCTGTGTTCGTTTCCAGAAAGCCTGAACACCGTCTTCTATCATATAGGCGACAACGAAAGAGAGGAAAAATGACATAGTCCAAGGATTCCATGGTGAAACGTTTCGCAAACTATCGAGTACAACATGGATTAAACCGGAGAGAAAGAAAACGACGAACACGTTTGTGTATCGTTCCACGAACGATGATCTAGGCAGACAGAGGACATCCCGCGCTAGAAAGTTGCTAGTTGATGTGAGGGGCTGTCGTAGCATTTGATGCCAGAATTTTCTACAAGAACCATTAAGATTAGATGCAATCAAAGCGATAAGCATATAAGCAACTCACCCCCAGAAGTTTCGTAGCGTATAGATATCTGCCATTCTCCCAATAAGCGGCGGACTGTTCGAGGGAGAATCCCCCAGGCTCACAAAGATGATCGAAGCAACACGGTAGTAGAAGCTAAGTAAGATTCGAGACACGACGAACCAAGTGATGAGAGTCTGAACAGCCTGTGCTATCCACTCTCGCCCGGGAATATCCCATTGATGGCTAGAAGAAATTGACCATTCTTCGTCTTGGTCATTCATGGCGTGTTGCAAAGCCAACACACTAAATATATCTAGAACTAGAAACTGCCAGATAGCGATAGCAGTTTCTCTAACCAAGAAGCGACCTCGTGGGATCCCATTTGGATCTCTCTTGATGTAGTATGCTGGGAAGGGTGGGACGTTCTTCACTTGTCGGGGTGTGTTGACCGCTCGCGTGCATGTGAGTAGCTGAACAGCATCGACTAGACGAGATAAGAAGCTCTTAGTGTTTCCATTGGCGTCGACGAAATCTCGCCCGTCTTGAGGGTTGATCAGCAGCAAGTCCAGTGCTGTCAAGACGAAGGTTATAGAGCTTCCAAGGAAATTGGTAGATATATACCCCGGTGCCTGAACAGGATACACCATTTGCGACACGATCCATATCATACATGGTATAGACAGACAACGTAGGACGGATTGTTTAGGTGTTGTGATTAGGATAATGCAGGGGATGAGACCCTGGAGGATAGAGAAAGCGAGCAACCGCCCGTTCGATTGATATTGAACCATGACTGTTGGAGATTTGACAAAAAGAAAGATTTTTTCTTTCAATCTCATTTTGAGGGGCTTCTATCATTAAGAACCAAGAGCAATTTGCCTTTTGTGCATAATATTACCTGATTGGTGAATCGGAGCGTTTGCAAAGAGTGCAGGTCCACGGTGGGCCCTAATCCCTTACATAGGCAATCTGTAAGATATATCCAGCTCACCCGTGAACACCAGTATCTTTGCTATTTATTCACCGGTTGTACTATGTATTATTTGCTTTCTTGGCTAAGAAATTGACGACTACTACATTTCTAACATCTTCAGAGTTGATGCCTCCAGGGTTGATGAAATTAGATATCAAGACCACCTGCAGACTAACCACATCTGATAGGTAACTTTGGTGGCTGATGGTGCTAACCCAAATCGATCTATGTATATACGCTCCCGGGTTAGATATCCAACTCACTTAGCTCAGACTCATCGACGAGCGTTCTACTCTACATTGATCTATTCGTGTTCATTCACCATGATCAGGGACAGTGTGTTAAACATTCAGACTTTTGGTAAATGGAACCCCCTCTATTTTCTCAATGCTGAGAGCTTGTGCGACTTCTCAAATACGAGGGCGCATTGGATCAGAGTTTTCCTCAAAAATCATCGAATAAATACGTCGGATGGACGAAATGCTGGCAAATTCTAGAATGACTCGGAAGATTACTTCCTGGTAAACTACCATCCTGACCGATTACCAATTCAACCAATTCAGTTTGTTGAGATGAGAGGTCCGAGCAGGGTTCCCATCTGATCTCATATCCCCTTTGATAACGCAACAAGTAAAATTGGAGCAATGTCCCCGGCTTTCTATATTTCAAGCTCGCCAACCCCACATTTTTAACAGAGAGTCCTTCCATTGAAGGTCATTACCAGCCGCTGTGAACGAAAGGTGTTTGGAGACTCGGTTTTGTGGTAGATGGCAATACAACACTTGATCTGGCCATATTCGGGATGTTGCTGAATATCCTTGATCCTTGCAATCTGAGCCTTTTTTTCTTGTTGAGCTTCTTGACAAGTTGGGATACACTCGCTATATAATATTACCAAGTTTGCTGACAACAAAGCGGCTGGGAGAAACATCACTCGAAGGGATAAAGGCGTAGCCTGTAGTGGGAGTATATCAGGTGCTCAGTAGTAATTAAACAGCGTCACTGGATAATAAATGAGCATACTATAATTATTATACAGTACATAGTAAGTCTTGTAGCAATCTATGCGAAATTGAGCAAGATATATACTATGGATCCCAAGTGCAAATGACTTTGCTTATGTATGTACCCAGGATCCTCAAAGTACATAACAAATATATATCTAATCCAAGGCAACATCTTTTGATCCCATTAGATGGTTATTCCTTTTGTCTAACAGTCTACCACATATAAACTTACATGGATTTGTCAATTCTACTTAGGGCCTGGCTTCTGTTAGAATGTGGCCCAGGCGGCACACATCTACCCATATAAAACACATTTCCAAAGTGAAGAAGAGCATGCCTACAAAATAAAAATCTCCCTCCTGTCAAGTCTAACACCCGTGGACCGAGCTAACAACGTAATCATTCTATAGTCGTATACTAATTCCCACATCCATCTATATATGGCTGTAGCTTGCATCTTGAAATTAAATTACACGCGTATGTTGTAGTATTTAGGGCTTCCACTCACTCACGTTTACCAACCCTCCATACAATAAAGAGCAATCTACATCGAAGAATACGCATCTTATATCGCAGTAGCACACCCTCCAACCCTGGCCCAAGCATCATAGGCACTAATCCTCTTTCAATATAAGTCCAAGTTAGTCCCCGCTCGTCCGATGCTTATCTTGCCCTAATCTCGGGGCAGCGGAAGTCGCGTCCACACCTCGGTATGATTCCCAGCTCCAGCACGGTCCCTACTTTATCCTGGGATCTAATCGCGGGGCTTGATGTCCCTGTCAATCCGGGGTGCAGAGGAGCTTGTGTGGAGTCTGGTGCGGGAGCTTGTTTTGTCTCCTGGATCCTGGATTTGAGCTTATTCAAAATTACATATGGTATACGTGTGTATTAATTACACTGGTATTTTTGGGCACTAGCTTTTTTTAAACTCTTTTCTTTCAAATGTTCACTATCACATTGGACACATATATCTAGCTTACAATATACCTGTGGACATATCTAATCTATCGATTTTATATTTTTATGTTTACATATGATAGAACAATTCTGGGACAATAAATGCCTCGTATCATTGATATTATCCGACGGGACATCACACGATCTAAATCCGCCGGGAGTGAACATAGGAAAATGAAATCTAATCAACGGAGAATCATGTACGTCGACACCAGAAGGACCGGGTCTTTTCGCCCGGGCGGGAATTAACGCCATACCCTCAGCAAAATAGGACAGACGCCGGGGTGACATCTACATCCGCAGACCTCCCCCGGAATCCCGCAAAAAACAAGTCATATCATGCCATGCATTATACCACAAACCGATGCAACGGACACACGCTGCAAAGAACAAACATCAAATAAGGATTAAACTGTTTATGCGCCGAATTCCTTGACGTCGCTCTTCTTGCCCTGGAGGGCGAGGGGGACGATGCCGCTGACGTGCATCTCAGGTCCGTAGACGTGCATGTCGAGGCCAAGCTCAATACCGACGGACTTGATGTTCTTGAGACCCTCCTGGTAGTTGGGACCGGCACGGCGGACCCAGATCTGGACCTTGTGCTCGTTGAGGACAGTGGCGACCTCGCGGATGGCGCGGATGACACCCTTGAAGGTGCTGGCCACGTTGGTGAAGTTGGCAATACCTCCACCGATGAAGAGGACCTTGCCCTCGGGGTGCATGGGGGCACGCAGCATCAGGTCCAGCACGGTGCGGGCGTAGTTGAAAGTCTGGGTCTCGGTGGGGGCACCGGAGTACTCGCCGTAGTTGGCAAGCTCGCTGACGAAACCAGCGGAGGCAATGGCGTCGGCGTAAACGACGGAAGCACCACCACCGGCGACGAGGGTCCACACACGGCCGGTGGCGTTGAGGACGGTCAACTTGAGTGAGGCACCGGTCTTGGCATCCATGTCGGAGATGAACTTCTCCTCCTTGGACAGCTCACGACCGAAGGGGGCGGGGAACTCCATCGGCGGGCCAGCGTCGATGCTGACCTTGCCATCAGCCGAGGCGAGGGCAGGGGAGCCCAGGGCAGCGGGGCTGCGAGCAACAGCCCACTTGGTACCGCACTCGAACTCAGCGGTCTGGTCGAGCTTGGCGGCCAAATCCAAGAAGTGAACCTCAGCGGAGGTGGCGTCAGCGTTGGGGATGACGACCAGAGGGTTGATCTCGAGGTAGGTGAACTGGCAGTCAACGTAGACGGCGTACAGGCGAGAGATGAAGTCAACCAGGACATTGTGAACACCCTTGGGGACCTTGCTCAGCAGGGTCGCGGCGATCTCCTCGTTGGAGGGGTACTGCTTGAGGTTGACGGGGATCAACAGCTTCTCGGCCTTAGCATCGACATCACCGACATCAACACCACCCTCGTGGGTGAAGAGGATCCAGTCACCCTAGAATTGAACCGTTAGCTTCTATTCTTTTTTCTTCTTTTCTTTTTTCAATTTGCGTTCAAAACTGCGGGGAAAGCTTACCTCACGGACGGAGTTAATGTTGATGTAGTATTCGGTCTCCTGGGGGTGAGGCACGAAGGGCTCAACCAGGAATTGGCGGAGAACGCCAGTGACGGTCTCAACCTGGACATCCTTAGTGGCACGAGCCTCGATCCAGTCCCGGGCCTCAGTCCAGGTCTTGTTCAAGGCGAGCAGACCGCTCTTACCACGACGCTTGATCAATTGATCGGGTTTGGCGACAAACTTAGCGCCGGGGGTCAGAAGCCAAGGGAAGGAGACCTCAGCCTGGTCGAGGACATCCTTGATGGCCTTGTCATCGGGGAAGTGAAGGGAGGCGAGGCGGGCAGGAGGGTTGTGTGTAGCGGAGGCAGGGAGAGGAGTAGGCTTAATCACTGGGGCGCGAGTGAGGTGGTAGTTGAGGATGGCCTTGCCGTCGGCCTCGAGGATAGATTTGGCGGACATGATGTGATGATTGAATTAAGGGAGAGATGTGAGAAAGAGAAAAAGAGAGAAATGGAAAAAGAGGGGGATGTTTTGAGCTGAATTGTAAGAAAGAGAGATTCCGGAAAAGGTGGGAATCGTTTCTGGAGTGTACTGTAGTGTACGGCGTACACAAAAAAAAAAAGTTGTTCTGGAGATTACAGCGTACAACTCGGTAGGTCCCACCTGTTGAGGAACAGACCAGAACGGAAGATCCTAAGAAGGTGGGGGGTAAGATATGCCCTTCGTTGGGAAATTCTCCACAAAACTCCGTAGGGAATCGGAGTACGGAGTACGTTAGAGCGTATTGAGTACATTTTGGTGGCGCCACTTGTTCCTAATTTGAGATGAACGGAGTACTTGTTGGTCCCCCGACACCGCTTGGAGATGTTTTCTGTTGAATTAATAGTCCGTAGTCCGGGATCTTTTTTTGTACAAATTATCCCGATTCAGTCCTCCGAATGTATATCCCGAGTGTATATACCGAGGTCTTTTATACTTTTTTGACATTTGAGATTTGAATTTCGTAGATAGTACAAGTTGAATACTTTGAAAATATTAATATTACATATAGATAGAATATATTATACATATATTTTTCTATGTACTCCGTAGAATTCATTAATATCCCCCCATACTTTTTGTGTATTAAGTATGTATCAAACTTACCAAGTGGGTACAGTATCGTCAGTACCCGGTACTTTGGGGACTGCCAAGTGTTGAGCTGTTTGCGGATCCAGCGGTCTGGGACGAGCTGT